TGGTATTTGATAGAAGTCTTCCTTTTCTATGCATGTGCCGCTCTCCTTTGGAAATGAGTTCATTTATTTGTAAATGAATTCCAGATGTCCCTTTGTTGCTTTTATTGTACTTCTGCTTTATTTAACAATAAATAGATCATCAGTTTAAATAATACTGTTTTCTTTACAGTCATTATCTTGACTTACCAAGGTATTATTTCATAGCAGGTAGGATAGCTGAAAATGTGGCTGCATTTCAGTGGTTCCCAACCTTTTTTTGGCCAGGGACCACTTTGACCAGAAACCATTTCCAACATTAGTGCCAAAAGGGTTATGAATCAGTTTTGGTCAACTTTAGATTGGTTTGGTTATTTGTTGTGCTGATTCAGAAAAATGCATTGGATAGACCACATCAGCTCTAGTTTCTGTTACAGAATATGTGCCATCTGGTAGTTGCCATCTGCTCACCCACAGAAAACCATATTTAATCATCTAGAGCTGATGTGGTAGTAGTAATCTTTTGTGGGTAGTCAGCCTCTCCCCTCCCAACATCCTCGTTGCCTCAGCACTATGACGGTTTCGCAAAACCAATCACTGTCGTTGCTGCGTGGTTTCAAGGCAACAGCATGGTGAGGCCACAGACCATATTTTCGTTCTTGTGGACCACTGGTGGTCTATGGACCACAGGTTGGGAATTACTTCTGTATTTTAATCTTCCAAGTCAGATGCATAGCTCACCAGATGTTGTTGGAAGACATCTCCCATCCTTACACATCACCACTGACTATGCTGGTTAGGTCTGTTGATGGAGTGCTCCAACATCTGAAAGGCCATGCAACATCTGAAGGGTCACACAGTTCCCAGCCCTGTTCTTAATCATTATCAAATTCCACTTCCAATCAATTGGTTTTACTGCTTTGGTTGTGTTCTTCTATTATTATTATTATTATTATTATTATTATTATTATTATTATTATTATTATTATTATTAGAAACAACAAGATCAGTCCATAGCAGACACAATCTCTCTGCTGGCTGCTGTACTGGATCACACATCAGACACTTCCCAAGTGTCTAGGACTGTGTGATGTGTGTGCAGATCCCAGTAAGGTAGCCTTCTGCAGCTGGCAGATGGTAATTTTGTCAGTGCTGAATGTGTTTAAGTGCAGGCCAGGTTTTTAGGCACTGCACCCAGTGTGCTGATCACCACTGGGACCACCTTTACTGGTTTGTGCCAGAGTCTTTGCAGTTCGGTCTTCAAGTGCTCTTATTGTGCCAGCTTTTCCCATTGTTTCTCTTCAATCCTGCTGTCACCTGGGATGGCAACATCGACGATCCATCATGAGGTCAGGAGTATTGTGCTTCAGAACTCTGTCAGTCTGAATTCGGAAGTCCCAGTGTAGTTTGATGTGTTGATTTTCTGTGACTTTTTCAGGTTTGTGATCCCACCAGTTCTTTGTTGCAGGCAGATGGTATTTGTGGCACAAGTTTCAATGAATCATCTGAGCAACAGTGTTATGCCTCTGCTTGTAGTCTGCCTGTGCGAGCTTCTTACAGCAGCTGAGGATGTGATCTATTGTTTCATCTGCTTCCTTGCAGAGTCTACACTTCGGATCTGTCGTCGACTTTTCAATTGTGGCTTTGATGACATTTGTTCTAATGGCTATTATCTATCTATTATTATTATTTGCTTTATTCTGTAAATATATCAGGAGGATGTCTGATATAGTTTATATGTGCACTGTGACTGCACAACCTTTGTGATTTTATTATTCCTGTCTCCTTAATGTCCAGGGTGGGACAAAGAACTCTTGTCTGTTGGAGGTAGGTGTGAAGCCAGGCCATTACATGCTAATCAAGGTGGCCAATTGAAACATTCACACTTGCCTCCAACATACAAGAGTTTTCTCCCACCCTGGACATTTCACAGATATATAAACCCCGTTTTCCTAGTTTCCAACAGACTTCACATCCTCTGAGGATTCCTGCCATAAATGCAGGTGAAACGTCAGGAAAGCATGCTTCTGGAATATGGCCATACAGCCCGAAAAACTTAGAAAAACCGAGTGATTCCAGCCATGAAAGCCTTCGACAGCACATACTCCTTTAGTGTTTTGCCATTCTTGCCTCTGGGGAAAATGGGAAAAGAACCCATCCTAGGACACCTTCCCTCTACTGTAGTAGGATGTAGTGGTTGGTTGGCTCACTATGCTGCCTTTGTTAGATTTAGACAGGTAGCATTTAAAAACCAACTCAGAAAGAAAGGGCCTGTGCTGCTTCAGGGAAAGGTTCTCAGTTTCAGCAAGCAGGACATTAGAATGCAGAACAGACTTGCTTGCGTGACTCTTTCCCAATGTGCAAAAGGCAGTAACACATAATGGAAATTGTATTTAATGCTAGCCCTGTTGCATCCCAAACACAGTGACCTTCAGTGCTATATTGAGTTTACACAATGAACAATAAATTACAGAGAAACATTACATTTTTAATTCCATGTGTCCCAGGAGCTGCTGCAGGACAGCTGGGTCTGTTTTTAGTTCAGTGTTTTGCTTTGAATGACTCCTCTGAGTCAAACCCAGTATTGGACCCAGCTGCCAAATCCTAATTAAATGTCTCTCAGACCAGCTGGGTATTTGTGTTTTGGCTACTTGTTTAATGATGCTAGAACTCAAATGGTCACAAAGTTAAAGTCCGTATAACAAAAAGCACAATTTGAGTGTGTACAGAAAATGAATGAGTTTTCTTAGAAAATGCAGTTTTCCTACTGAGTATATCTGGCTTGTAATGTATTTAAACATTAATAATAAATTCCTACTGCTGCCTATTTAGGAATTATTGATTAAGAGTGTTGCGACCAAAAATAAAGTGTATTTTAATCTTACCAATGTAATGGTGCCACCTGCCGTTTCTCCAGTAATATTAGACTATTTAAAATACAGTCTGCAAAGAAAAGGAATGGAATAGAAGGCAGTTCATGCAAAAGATTGCATAAACCAAGAAATTAATGGCAAAAAATCAATGCCTAACATACATGTAAAAAACCAAAGCATTAAATCAAATAGTAACATATAACTATGAATTAAAGCTATTAAAACCATATTAAATCATGAAACATAGTCAACATTTAGACATTAAGATATAAAATGAAAACATAGTATAATATTAAAATCACGTAATCCAAAATCAAGGAGCCCCCGGTGGCGCAGTTGGTTAAAGCACTGAGCTGCTGAGCTTGTTGATTGAAAGGTCGCAGGTTCGATTCCGGGGAGCGGCGTGAGCTTCCGCTGTCAGCCCTAGCTTCTGCCAACCTAGCAGTTCGAAAACATGCAAATGTGAGTAGATCAATAGGTACCGCTCCGGCGGGAAGGTAACGGCGCTCCATGCAGTCATGCCGGCCACATGACCTTGGAGGTGTCTACGGACAACGCCGGCTCTTTGGCTTAGAAATGGAGATGAGCACCACACCCCAGAGTCAGTCATGACTGGACTTAATGTCAGGGGACTACCTTTACCTTTACCTTTAATCCAAAATCATAATCCAAAGCCGTTCCAATTGTCAATTGCACGAATTCCCTGTTCATTTCTTGCACTGCTCACTAACCAAAGGCTTGGTCTCAGTCATGTCTTTGCTTTCTTTCTGAAGGTCAAAAGGGAGGGTGCTGACCTAATTTCATTGGAGAGGGAGTTCCAAAGCCAAGGGACCACCACTGAGAAGGCCCTGTCTTTCATCCTAACCAACCGCACCTGCGAAGGAGGTGGGACTGAAAGCAGGGCCTCCCCAAAAGATCTTTAAACTCCCGAGATAATTCATAGTGGGAGATGCATTCAGACAGGTAAATTGGGCTGGAACCGTTTAGGGCTTTATAAGCTAAAGCCAGCACTTTGAATTGTGCTCGGTAGCAGAATGGCAGCTAGTGGAACTGACATAACAGAGGGGTTGTATGCTCCCTGTACGCTGCCCCAGTGAGGAATCTGGCTGCTGCCTGTTGGACCACTTGAAGCTTCCGAATACTTTTCAAAGGCAACCCCACGTAGAGCGTGTTGCAGTAGTCTATTCAGGATGTAACAAGAGTGTGGACCACCATGGCCAAGCCTTTCTTCCCAAGGTATGGGTGCAACTGGCGCCAAGTTTTAATTGCAAAAGCTCCTCTGGACACTGCTGAGACCTGGGGTTCCAGGTTCAGCGATGAGTCTGGGAGGACTCCCAAGCTGTGAACCTGCGCCTTCAAGGGGTGTGTAACCTCATCCAGGCTGTTACCCTATACCCTGTTTGACCTTAAGACTGACCAGAAGCATCTCTGTCTTGTCTGGATTCAATTTCAATTTGTTCACCCTCATCCAGACCGCCACAGCTGCCAAGCACTGGTTCAGGACTTCCTTAGCAGCAGATGGAAAGGAGTAATAGAGTTGGATGTCATCTGTGTACAGATGACATCTGACTCCAAAACTCTGGATGACTTCTCCCAGTGGTTTCATGTAGATGTTAAACAACATGGGGGACAATACTGAGCCCTGCAGGACCCCACAGGACAAAGGCTGTGGGGCTAAGCAGGTGTCCCCCAGCAACACCTTCTGAGAACAACCCTCCAGGAAGGACTGGAGCCACTGTAAGACAGTGCCTCCAAGACCCATTCCCACGAGGCACCCCAGAAGGATACCAAGGTCTTCGGTATTGAAGGCCGTTGAGAGCTCCAGGAGAACCAATAGGAACACACACAGATCATCCACTAAGCGACCAAGGCGGTTTCAGTTCCATGACCTGGCCTAATTTGTAAGCCACTTCGAATCCCCCCATGGGGGTGAGAAAGGCGTGGTATAAATAAAGCAAATAAATACATAAATAAAGCCAGACTGAGCTGGATCCAGATAATCAATTTTCTCCAAGAACACCTGGAGTTGCAAGGCTACCACACATTCCAAGACTTTGCCCAAAAAGGGGAGATTGGAAACTGGAAAAAAAAAACCACACACAACCTTTTGTTTTTCTGCATAAACTTTTAATTTTTTAAAAAACAATTTTTTCGAGACAGTGTTTTACGACAGTCATGTTTCCTTAGTATGATAGCAATACCAAAAGCATACAACAGAAAGTCAGAGCATTTTAAATTGGCACAATTAGCTTCCAAGAACAAAACTAACTTCTTATAAAGGACTGACTGAATGTACCCATACATTACAATGCAGCTGTTACAAAATGCTCTTGGCTTCTTACAAAAAACACAAGTGAGCAGACAACTTTGGCAAACATCAACTCTGAAAACTATGCACAGACAGCAGGAAGAAAATAGGTTTGTACAAGAGTGGTTTGGCAATTTTCAAAGAAAGGATTCCTGTCATTAACTAAAAAGCAAACATACAGTATTTAGATAAAACATACTACAGCACTAATCCTGAAACATACAAACACTTTTCAGTCTCTAAAACGCTTTACATTTGAACTGCGTATTGCTTATTAATACTGGGCCAAATGCTATCAGGATGTTTAAATACAAAGGTAAAGAGAGATTCTTCACAACCCCCATGGAATTGTACACATTAAAATACTATGCTTATAAAATTATTTAAAACTTTCAGCAATGTCGTTCTCAAATGCAAATCCTTATCTTTAAATGTACTTTACAAAAGTGTAAGCTGCAGTCATTCGTTTTCAGAGGTTGCAACCTTCGTCTTCTCTTGTTCTCTACCATCACTGGGCATCCTAAAGGAAGGCAAGAACCACAGCTCACTTTTAAACGTCTTTAGCTGCATTTTCTGGGTATATATTTTATTATGCAGTAAATTTGAAGGTACTGTATAAACCAGGGGTGTCAAACACATTTTCCTCGAGGGCCACATCAGCCTTACGGTTACCTTCAAAGAGGCACTGAATCCATGGCTGGAGAATTTGTGGATACAGGGGGGCAACTATAATTTTTTTACAAAGTGACCAGTACTCTTTAGTTTTTACCCAATCTGGGTCCCCAGATGTTACTGAACGACAACTCCCACCACTTTTGATTATCCACCATGAAGACTGAGGATAATGGGAATTGCAACCCAACAGCATTTGCGGCTCTGAAGTTGGGGAAAGGTTAAAGGACATTTTAAAGTCAATTCTCATATCCACAAGCCTTGTACTAATTTCAAACCCCGCTATCCTGACTAAAGAGAGCAAACTGCAGCCTTCCAGATGATACTGTATCACAACTACCATCAGCTCTCGTCGTTATTCGATGAGGAATACAGAGTTGCAGTCCAGCATCTATCTGTATATAAAATTTATTTATTTATTTTTATTTCATATATTTCAATCTCACTCTTCTCATCCCCGCGGGGGACTCAGGGCGGCCTCACAAAAGCACCATACAGTGGCATCATAGTAAAACAATCCACAATACATTAAAATATTTAAAATATTAAAACAGTAGTTAAAACAATTGGTTAACACAGCCTATTAAAATCAGAATCAAAAATCCAGTCTGGGTTAAAACATTGCCTTAAGTGTTATAAACTTCTTTCACTTGCTGCTCAAAAAATGACATAAAAATGACATGGTTGGCCTTGAGTTTAACATATGTGGTATTAACATTATCCCCTGTCTGCATAATGGATAATCAGTAGTAGAGGGAGTTGTCGTTCAATAACTTCTGGGGACCCAAATTGGGTAAAAACTAAAGAGCACTGGTCACTTTGTAAAAAAAAAAAAAACCAACAAAACAACTTATAGTTGGCCCTCTGTATCCACAGATTCTCCATCCATGTTGACTGGGAATAGTTGGAGGCTATTCTTGTGTATCAGGAGGGAAAGGTCTCCCACAAGTCTCATTAGTTTCTCATGAAAGATGAATAATTCTCCTAAGGTGCAATTTTGGGAACAGCTATCTTAGGTTAACGTGACTCATCAACCTAAATGAGTTTCTTCCACTATTCTTTCCTTTGGCTTGCAATCACTATTTCTTGGCTTTTAAAGAGTCCATGGAAAACGGTTCTAAAGATTGTTTGAAGAGTCAACCTTCAAACAAAAAACAATACTGCATTTTTGTCAATAAATCAATACAGAACCACTGAAAGACATCACATATGAAAATGCTAGAAATAATATAGCACACAGAAGTATAAGAGATGGAGTTAGTGATGCTGTTTAGTCTCCTAGAGTAATAGATTGATAGAGTTGAAGGAGATCACATGGGCCATCCAGTCCAACCCCATTCTTCCATGCAGGAAAAGCACAATCAAAGCGCTCTCAACAGATGGCCATCCAGCCTCTGTTTTAAGAGTCTCCAGAGGAGCTCCAATGCAGTGAGTTCTACTGATGAACAGCTCCCACCACCCAGACATTCTTCCTAATGTTCAGGTGGAATCGCCTTTCCTATAATTTGAACCTATTCCTCCTTTTTCTAGTCCATATGGCAGCAGAAAATAAGCCTGCTCTCTATTCCTTATGACATCCTTTCCAATATTTAAACATTGTTTTTTTCTCAAGGTTTTTCTGAAAAATAAAATAACACTCTCTGGTTATATGTTCAGTACTACATAGTATTTTATATTTGTTCTGCTTGTGTGGTGAGCATGAATACCCCTCTGACTTGAGAAAAGCATAGGACACAGAACCACTATGTATACAGACTGGAAAAACCACTTACTTCTTCTTACTGCCAGCATCAAGCTTCTCTGTCTTTTCCTCTGTGCTGTCTCCATTCTGCTGGTTTGCATCTTGAGAATCAGAACCACCATTCACTATTTTTGTGCCTGTAATAAGGGAAGGGCATTTTTAAAAAAATGGTTTTGTTTTGTTAAAACTAGCTGCCTGTTAATGTTAGTTTAATCTGATAAGCAACTAGTAAAGGTAAAGGTTTCCCCTGACACTAAGTCTAATCATGTCCAACTCTTGGGGGGGGGGGGTGATGCTCACCTCTATTTCTAAGCCAAAGAGCCGGTGTTGTCCATAGACACCTCCAAGGTCATGTGGCCAGCATGACTGCATGGCGCACCATTACCTTCCTTCAAAAGTGGTACCTACTGATCTACTCACATTTGCATGTTTTCAAACTGCTAGGTTTACAAAAGCTGGGGCTAACGGCAGGAGCTCACTCCGCTCCCCAGATTCAAACCGCCGACCTTGCATTGATTTTGCAGAACCTCCTGGTGGCACAGTGCATTAAACTGCTGAGTTCCCACTGTGCCACCAGGAGGTTCTGCAAAATCTATACAAGTGATATTGTAGCTACATAACCATGGTTGTTATGTAGCTATAGATTACCGTAATGCACTCCACCTAGGCTGCCTTTGAAAAGTAATCAGAAACATCAGCTGGTCCAAAAAGAAGCAGCCAACTTTTAATGGACTGGCTACAGGGAACACACAACTCCCCTGTTGCAACATCTCCACTGGCTGCCAACCCATTTCTGGGCACAGTTCAAAGTGCTGGTTAACCCCTGTCCAGGTTATCTGAAGGACAGTATCTCTATGAACCTGGTAGACATCTACGATCTACCGGGAGGGCTTTCTCTCTGTCTACCACCCGCTCAAGAAGCGCATTTGGTGGGAACACCAGAGAGGGCCTTTTTGGTGCTGCTCCCAGACTGTGGAACTCCCTCCCAACAGAGACCAGGATGGCTTCATACCTGCTGGCCTTCTGCAGGCAGGTAAAGACCTTCCTCTGCCAGCAAGCATTGGGGAGGTGGAATAGAGAGTTTTAAACGTAGTTTTAATTTATTGTCGAAGGCTTTCATGACCGGAATCACTGGGTTGTTGTAGGTTTTTCGGGCTGTACGGCCATGTTCTAGAAACATTGTCTCATGATGTTTTGCCTGCATCTATGGAAGTCATCCTCAGAGGTTGTGAGGTCATCTCTGGGGATGCCTGCCATAGTTGCACGCAAAACGTCAGGAGACAATGCTTCTAGAACATGGCCATACGGACCGAAAAATCTACAACCCAGTAGTTTTAATTATATTATAATTTTATATCCTAAACGGTTCTGGCCCAACTTATCTATCCGAACGTATCTCAGCCTATCAGCCCACCAGGACCCTTAGATCTTCTGGAGAGTCCCTGCTCTCTATCCCACCGGCTTCCCAAGTGCAGCTGGTGGGAACGAGAGACAGGGCCTTTTCTGTGGTGGCCCTCGGCTTTGGAACACCCTCCCTATAGAGATACGATCAGCCTCTTCGCTGATGGTGTTTCGGAAGAGATTAAAAACATGGTTGTGTAAACAAGCATTCGGTTAGTTTGTTATCACCGAATTTTATGGACTAAGGACTGGTTAATTATGGATGACGAATTCTGGACTGTGATTTTAGTGACGAGATACATGGTATTATTATTGGTGGCCCAATAATTTGTATTGTCTATGTGTTGTTGTTTTAAATTGTATATTGTTTTTAATTGTTGTAAACCGCAATGAGTCGCCGACTTAGGCTGAGATATTAGCGGTATACAAGTGTATTAAATAAATAAATAAATAAATAAATAAAATATCCACACACTACTATTTATTTATTTTTTTAAATGTATTTTCTCTCGTTTTAAATTGTGATTAGATTTCGCGGTTGGAGTCCCCATGGGGAGAAAGGCGGGGTGGGTGTAAATAAAACTAATAATAATAATACTGTAGTCAATCCCACCTCCATCCCCACTTAACTGTGATTGACAGGAACCGGTCCCCTGTCACTCAAGAAGCAGCTAACCAATGATTCTCCAAAACTTGTGCAAGTTATCTTCATTGCGAGAGGCATAAATAAGGCCCCTGCTATCATTTCCCCTTATAGCCGATTGCTCACATGATGGGGAAGTGAGAACACAACAGGGGAGCAGACTTCCATCCATCACAGTGGCTGACAGGTAAGTGGGGGTTGGGAGACCTTCAGCGTCCCAAAATACTCTCTAACTACAAGTATTGTAAACTCATAGCAGTCGTAAATGTATAACTCTCAATTGTGCATTCATAACTACAAAAGAGGATTTCAGCCATCCTACTGAATCTATATTTGCTCTAAGCAGAAAACCACAGTAACCAGATCTGGCATAAGAACAGAATCTTAAACCAAGTTTAGTCTGTGCAAAACTATACTCCTAGGCCCGTTTCCATGACCTGCACCCTGCAAGTACCTGCTTGCTCTCTCTCCTTCTCAGTTTTCTTGTTTGGTGCCTTCTTCCACTGCTCTTTGGTTTTGTTTGCTTCCTCGTGCTGCTTCTGCTCAGCCAGTGACTTATTCAACACTTGAGAAAGAACAGAATCTCCTTCTCCCACAAGAAACATAGTCTTAAATTTGTTGTAGAGCATGGTTGCTTTTTCCATAACAACTTGGCTGACTTTGAACTTCCGTATCTGAAAAGATAAGGGGGAGAAGAGTCTGTCTGCATATCTGTTCAAAGCATCCTGATCTCTACTAAAAACAATCCACTTTACTTTACCTATTATCTCTGAGATGCTTTCCATTAACTGCACTACATCCTAGTTCATTAATAAAATGTTTCAGACACAGGAGGAGCGGTGAGCAACCACAAACATTCGGAAATTAGGAACAAAAGAAACCAGGCGTGGCTACTTGATTTTGCAAAAATGCTTCTAAAATAGTTGATGCTTGATTAGAAGGAGAATCAGAAGAACATTTGTAGATTTTAAAAAATCCGAGGTACAAAAGTGGCTTTTGGTGGTCTGTCTGCGGATTATAAGCCTCCATCTTACGATGTTCATTTTATCAAATATGAAACTGAGATTTTATTATATACTTTACATTATGAAGAGCCACTACTTACTTTCTTAAGTGTTGAAATCATTTCAGCATGCTTCTGAGCCTGTTGCATGGTTACTTGAAGAGAAGCAAGCTCATCCAAAGCTTCAATACATCTGTTTACATTCTAATAAAACAAACCACAAAACATTTACACATTGGGGGTGGGGTGGGGGAGAACCACCATGTTTTGGGCATAATGTGTTATGCAGTTAAAACACACAGGGCTACAATGTCATTTCACAGTTTCACTGTATGCTCCAATGGTTCAAAAATTTCTATCTGACCTGATTTCCTATACAATCCAGAAAATGGACTGTTGCTTATCTGAGTACATTAAACACTGTAAATAGTGAATTATTTTATTATTAAAATGATGCATGGTGGAATTAGTCATGTTACTGAATTTATGTGTACAATATTCAAGCCCTGCGAACAGTATGCAAATACATTGTACAGGCCAATCCACAATTTGATGTTGTCAAATAGGAATGAGTGGATTGCAACTAAAGAAAATTTTCAAAACCTGCGAGAAAATCTATTTTTAGAAGAAATGTACCTACACAGCTATCCTTTTCTTCTATGACTTCAACAGCAGTATGTGTGAAGAAGATCTTGGAGTCTTCATAGACAACAAGTTAAACATGAGCCAACAATGTGATGCGCAGCTAAAAACGCCAAAGGGATTTTGGCCTGCATAAAGAGGAGTCTAGTGTCTAGATCCAGGGAAGTCATGCTACCCCTCTATTCTGCCTTGGTCAGACCACACCTGGAATAACACTGTGTACAATTCTGGGCACCGCAATTGAAAGAAGATGTTGACAAGCTGGAATGTGTCCAGAGGAGGGTGACTAAAATGATCAAGGGTTTGGAGAACAAGCCCTATGAGGAGTGGCTGAAAGAGCTGGGCATGTTTAGCCTGCAGAAGAGAAGGCTGAAAGGAGACATGATGGCCATGTATCAATATGTGAAGGGAAGTCATAGGGAGGAGGGAGCAGGCTTGTTTTCTGCTACCTTGGAGACTAGGACACAGAACAATGGCTTCAAACTACAGGAAAGGAGATTCCACCTGAACTTTAGGAAGAACTTCCTAACTGTGAGAGCTGTTCAGCAGTGGAACTCTCTGCCCCAAACTGTGGTGGAGGCACCTTCTTTGGAAGCTTTTAAGCAGAGGCTGGATGGCCATCTGTTGGGGGTGATTTTAATGCAATATTCCTGCTTCTTGGCAGGGGTTGGACTGGATGGCCCACAAGGTCTCTTCCAACGCTATGATACTATGACGTTCTCGTCTAGAAATTAAACCTCATCTATTTAACAAATCAATAATCTAATAAGGAACATGTCGTAAAGTACAGGTTGAGTGTCCCTTATCCAGAATTCTAAAATAATCAATCTGTAACCAGCATACAGGACTGCTTAGAACAAGCTTGCTAGCAGTTCCAATTGAAAGCCTGTGTAGTGTTATGGTTTGAGCAATAGATTATAAATCTGGAGAACAGAGTTAAAATCCCCAATTTGCCCTAAAACCCAATAGGTGCCCTTGGCCAAGTTACACTCTCAAAAGGAAGCAACGGCAAACACTCTCTGATGAAAATTTTCCAAGAAAACCTTGTGATAGATTTGCCTTAGGATCGCATTAAGTTAGACATAACTTGAAGTCACACAAGTATCTAGTTTAACAGATAATGACAAATATTAAGGGTCAGTACTTGTGCTTATTTCTATAATTTTTTCAAACAATTTAATTTCAATTAACATGAAAACAAGATACTATAAACTTGGGAAATGGCCATTAGATCACCAGCAAGACAAAACTAGAAATTGTTTTGCAGGAAAATTTATTCCCTTTCCTGCAGGAAATTAATGGTTAACACAGTATACTTACAAGATGGTCAATTTGGAGTGAGTTTTTGATTTCTGCATGTATCCTTTGAAGTCTAGAATCCATTGATGTTTCTAAATATTAAAACAAACGCTTTAAAATATTGAACATAGAATTCATTGGGATATATTTTTTTCACGATAATAGCGTAAATAATGGAAGGAATACAAAAGTGATAATACAAGAAACGAGTAAATTAAGTGCATTATTCTGACTCTCCTAAAATATTATTAAGCAGAATAAGATGGCTGAAATCCAGATGCCAATTGCTTATTCATTCTATTTAAAAAATATTAAATTTTATTAAAACCGATGGGCGCAAAGCAGTCATTTGAAAAACTTACTTTATACAGGCAGTAAAGACAGGTTCTGTAGGTTTGTTCTTAAGTTGAATTTGTATTTAAGTTGTAACAGGTACATTTTAAAGTGTACCATTCTCATATATAATACATTCCGTTTTGGATAGCATAGGGAAGGTGGTGTTTGCTTTGCTGCCTGTGCCACTGTTCAGAAGAGTTCACCTCACTTTCTGTCCCTGTGATAATTGGATTTTGAAAATTGGGGCTTGTTGTGGAAACAAGGATTTGTGATGAAGCTTCTGTGGAGATATCTTTTCCCCATGATAATAACTCTTTCAAGAGTGAATTTCCCTTCCAAGGGGTAGATTCTTCTCACTTCCTGTTGTCTCAACCCTATTCTTAACTATGAGTTGGATGTAAATCAAATGTTTGTAACTTGGGGATTGTATGTATATATTTACATTTTGGAAAACATATGGAAGGGTTAATAGCTCTGTAATGTTTCTTTTGCAATCTGTGCACCTGTTCAGAAGATTGCATTTCACTTTCTATCCCATGACAATTAAATTTTCAAATTTTGTGTTGATAAAGTGGTGATAAAATTTCTTACACGAGTATATTTCCCTTCCTGGGGCTAGATTTCCTCTCACTTCTTGTTCTTTCAGCCCCGTGTGTAACTCGGAGTCATATATGTAAAACTTACATATTTATTTATTTATTTGCTTTATTTCTATACTGCATTTTTCAGCCTAATTAGGCGACTCAATGCGGTTTACACAATACAAGTTGTCACAACAATATCCTAAGCAATTAAAACACATCATACACAACAGACAAAATCAACAATCATTATCATATCATAACGCCTCAATAACAAATCAGAATCCGTTCTCATAATCCTTTTACCATTCCTATGTTCAATTACATATATGTAAGTCATATATTTGTAACTTGGGGACTGCCTGTATACTCAAATATAAGTAATAATTTTAGTCGAAAAACCAACCCTCCAAAAACTTTAAGATTGACTGATAATCCACATGTCAATCTAAGTACTGTATGTTAATTCTTCGCAAAAAAGGAATTGAGTGGTGAAATGCAAGAGATTAGTCTTCCCAGGAAACCCTAAAAGCAGCACCAACCCTCTCTACTTTCTGCTATGGTGCTGCTTCTGACTCTCTGAATGCCTGGATGGGGAAATTGTGGCACTGGCCAGGAGCAGAGGGCCCCAAGTTGGCACTGGTGCTTCCCCTTCTCCAGGAAATGACTATCGGCTGATCCATGTTAGCAAAATTCACAATTTTACCTTATTGTGGATAAGCAACATATTCATGTAACCTGCCTCCCATTCCAACTTGCAGCAAGAATTGCTAAATGGAGCTTCACTTGTTATGATGTGCAAACCTCAAGAAACTCTCTGGCTTACCTCCCTCTCGATAGGTGAGAAAATATTTACTCTAAAGTAAGAGAAATTGGGTTTCTTTCTCAAGCTAATCAGGAGAAGCAGCTAAAGTAGCCAAGGAGCAGAATTCTGTGATTTGTTTAGGCACTACTTTCTACTTTTTACAAACAGGAGCCAGTACACAGCACACACAGGCACACTGGTTTGTCCCTAATATGATGGAATTCCCTTGAATTCCTATATGTTGTGACATTTCAATATAGACAGTTAATTACAGAAAATATTTTTAGGCAGATTTTGACTACTGACCTCTTTTTTTCTCCATCTTCTTAGCTTCTGGTTTCTTGCTTTCTTCCTTGTTTTGCCTTTCAAAAGTTTTCAACAACTTATTATAGTTTATCAAATTATGAAATGGTATCCTATGATACACAGTAAACAATGCAGAATTCAAAGTATAAAGAACCTGACACTTTAAAAAAAACCCCACTTTGCGTGCAAAATTCACCAAATATGCTTGCTGTCTTTAAATTTTGTTAATTTAATATGAAATTAAAATTTTGGAAATTACTTAAATTGGAATTTTGCCTTCCTTCTAATAGTCCCTTACTGCATTGTCGGCTTATTTCATGATCTCACCATTTACGCTGATAAATGTGTCACATATCAAGGAGTAAAAAAAAAAAATGGTTTAGTTAACTTCAATTTAGGCTTTAATTGAAGTTATTTTTATGTCATTTTGTTTCAGAATCATACAGTAACTGGTTTAGCATATCTGAGCTAAAAAAAACTAGGAGGTAAATTATAGATGTTAAATTTTTACATAATTTGTGAAATAGAACAAGAAATTAGTAAAAAAAATATTCCTGATATGATTTGTGTGTGCACCATGATTTAAATTCTCACTACTGAAAAGTTTCTACCCATTTCTCCTGTTCCCTTCTGGCCTAGGGTCCAATATGGAAAAAAATGGTTCAGGAAAAAGGGCTTAATTTATGTTTTTGCTCATTATAGTAACTTCCTAAAAGTATTTAATATTAAAACGAACAGAAAACTTGGGGCACTTCCAAGACTTAACAGATTTATTTCAGTAAGCACTGTGAATTAGAATCCACTTTCTCAGATTCATGATGGAGTACAATGATCAAGCTTTGGTACATGTGCAAAATGGTGTGGTTATGCAGTGGTATCGAAATGAATCAAGACACAAGAAATGACAACTGCATTAATATCACTGGTGATCCACAAAGGACAGCTTTAACTTAACTCGATGTATTGGACCAAAGCCGCATCAACATATCAAAGGGGCCTCAACTTAGCACCTCTCCTTTGCTACCCAAAATACACGAACCAGCCAGGAAGACTTAGTCTTTCAGGTTTTTATATCACCATTGTTGAGGGGATCTGGATAAAAGGATTTAATGTTCAGGTCATATACCAGTAATATTCCATGCTCACTTTCTGAGTAAGTCATGACTTATCCATAACCCCCTAGAAAATAACATCCTATCCAAAGATACGGGCATACTCTACATCAACAGCCCACACAGGATGGAGTACAAAAAGTACGAAAGCATTCAGCCGAGTAAATTACAGAAAAAATGGAGAAAGGGACCTGCAATTCAAGGCAGACAAAGAGACAGCACAGGAACACATCATTATTTTAATAGAATCCAGGTCTCAAGGTCCAGATGAATTGCATTCAGGAACAGAAAAGGAATTTGCCAATTTATTTTGAGAGCTTCCATCTCTATTTCATAGCTCTTGGAAAACACTTGAGGCTCCTGCGGAATAGAGCTGAGCAGATGTTCCCAAATAAAAAAGGTGAGGGCAATGAAGAATCTATGAGCTTCTCATCAAAACCAGATAAGGTTGAAGATGAGATCATTGAACAGTCTGCGATCATTACTTTAAGAAAGTTATTGAAAACACTGAACCTTTCCAGAAAGCAACTAATATGGTAGGGGTTTGGGCAAAAGCCCCAAGAACAACAATACATAAAGTGTTTAGTTTGGAGAACAGAAGATACGGTGCAATAGAAAACTCCAAACATCCAAAGTGCCATCACACAAAAAAAGGGACAGGTTTGTTTGTCCACTGCTCCAGGGAGTAGAACAATGAAAATACTCAAATTATAAGAAAGAAGATGTGAATATTGATTGTAGTTAGAACTATTGTACATACTCATGGATAAGTCGACTCCATGTATAATTTGAATGTGACCCATGGCATTCTACAGAGGAAAACACCATGTCACTGCAGGAAATCAAGTGTTTGTGGCAGCCTCCGCCACCACCCAGGCATTCAAAGGCCAAGTGGTGCCACAGTGGAGAGATTAGGGAGGTTGATGCTTTTTTTATGTCCACCTAGGACAGACTAAACCCTTGCCTTTCCCCATTTTACTCAATGATGTGAATGATTCCCTTTTTAAAGTGTTAAGACGTAATAAGACAAAACAGCTTTTTGGAGGTTTATTTTTTGACGGAAATTTCTAGTTGGTAAGTAGGTCAATATTGAGTGCAGAAAGACCTTTGAAACCAGAACTGTCTCAGGCAGCTTGTAGAACATGCTACGGCAGTCATGTTGGGTCTCTACTTGGCTGGTTTCAACTATACATTGAAAACAACTTCATGGCAGAAAGGAAGAGGCAGTTTTGTGTCTTAGTTATCCACAAGGGCAAAGCCCACTTTCTTGATTTCCCTGTGATAGTGAATTTCTCTGTGGTGGCATCCAGATTTAATATTTCAGGTTGACTGAACCATTAGCTCATTTAAAGCTTCAAGATGTATGTATTGTTTTAGAGCTTCTGTTGTTCTTCTCCACCAAAGGGGCTTTCCCCCCACATTTCCACAAAAAAAAAAAAAAAACCCCACAGGAAAATTGTGGGACTGAACTAAAAATCTTCCCAAAGGGGTTCGGTTATTGACAACAGACACTGAAGAAGTACTCAAAACACAAATATAGGAGGAATGCATGTTGATATCAGGAGTATGTTGGTGACAACAGACCCCCAACCTCTGGATAATTGTTCCCAGCAATTTTGTATATATCTTCTCTTTTATGGGGGTCATCTCACACCTTTCTCCTAGCTGCTGTGGTCATGTCAGCCTCCTCTAGGCTACTGGTGTGTGTGTGTGTAGGAGCTGCCAATATCTGTTCAGTCAGAGATAACATCTGTAGACAGCCTTGGTTCAGATGGTGCCATGCTGGCTCTCAATGGAACTGGGGACTTATTTGGGGTGGCAGCAAAACCGTGGGGCTAGGCATGCAGAGAACAAATGGAAAGTACAACATGCCAGTGTGCTGTAGTGGTTTGAGCATTCAGTGATAACACTGGAGAGCTCAGTCATGGAAAGTAATTCTCTTTCAGCTTTAGAGGAAGGCAATGGCAAATCCCTTTTGAACAAATCTTGTCAAGAAAATCCCATGAAATCAGAAATGACTTGAAGGCACAAAACGCAAGATGGAAAATGCTTCTTCTACTACTCTTTTTTCCCCCTGCATCTGTTTCCTTTTCTACCCCCTCCTCCCTTTTTTGAAAGAGTCTCGCATTTGTCTTCTCTGCTGACGAGAGGACGAAAACCGTGAGGTGACATTTCTTCCAGAAAGAAACCAACCTCTGTTTTTTGTTTTTGGAGAAGGCAGAGGACATCCCAAAGAAACTAGATGCCCACAAATTAAGTCTAGTAACAATGACCTGAACACAGCCAATGAGTCTACATATATGAATAAGCTAATTACAGTATATTCTGGCGTATAAGACTACTTTTTAACCCAAGAAAATCTTCTCAAAAGTCAGGGGTCGTCTTATATGCGGGTGTAGTCTTATGCATGGGAGTCATCTTAATTCTATATTTTAACTGGAAAAGTTGGGGGTCGTCTTATATGCCCAGTCGTCTTATATGCCGGAATATACGGTAACTAGTGGTGTGCATAGTTCCATTTTTTTCTTAACAAAAAAAGAGTATACCTTTGAACAAACCTTCCTGACAACAAATTATATTATTATAGCCTTGTAGAGGCAATTAACAGCCTCAGTCTTAGTTTGGATGCCAGAATGTTTATGATCAGTGTTAAAAATTCCATGGTTATTTTATTTTGTTCCTTTAAAGTTTTTCTTTTTCACTTCAATTTTCAGTTCACATTTTTTGTAAAATGCTTGAATACTAAATTCCACCATGATTCTGAGGAAACAGATTGTGATCTATAAAAACTCACATTAAAATACATTACTATTTTAATGATGCCATGAGATTTTTCTCCTTTTTCTTGTTCACATTAATTTCAATTCCCAATTAGTGTTCATTAATTAATTATTTAGCAATGTAGATTTATTAATAAACAGAGTATTGTAACACAACATATATATCACCTTGAGCTACTACCCCAGTCTTTGGAAGTAAAAAATATATTTGCAAGGAGCTCTTCGTTGCCAGATCTGATTATCTTTTAACAAAAAGACAATCAGACAAAGTATGGTTGAATATTATTTATTTATGAAAATACGTATATCCTGACCTGTTTGAGGACCTCAGGGTGGCTTACAATAAAATCAATTTAGAACAATGAACGAGAACTCGTAATTTAATATCCTAAACATCATACAATCTAAAACCAGTTGAAACATTCAAAAATAATGCAGCCACTGCAGGTTTGCAGCCTGGATGAAATCAATTAGTCCTGAAGGCTTTAACAAAAAGCCAAGTTTTATTGACTTGGCAACTAAATGATACCGATCTTGGCACAGATCGAGCCTTGAAATGGAGGTTATTCCACAACTAGGATGCCACCGCGAAGAAGGTCCTCTTCCATCTCCTCCCATAATCTATTTCCTTTTCTAGTGGGCTCCTCCAATAGATCTCAATTTCTGGACAGTCACAAAGAAAGAAAGAGGCATTCCCTCAAGTATCGAGGGCCTTTTATTTCAAATGAGGTAATCACATTCAATATCAACACTTATACTCACAAATCTCCTTCCACCTGATCTTCCTGTTTACGTTTTCTTTCTGCTCCTTCTCGCTCATGCTGGGTTTTTAAAATATTCCTTCTATGGGGCCCTTGAACATTTCTTCCTTTTTTCTTCTATTCCATATTAATTTTGAATAGAAGGATACAACATTTTTATTATCTGCCCTTGATCAATCCAGTTCAACATCTAACTCAGATGAGTGCTTAATCAATAAAAAATCATGCATGAAGGTAAGGCTCATAAAAGAAATAATAACAATATTTTGCTCATACAGTTGATCCCTTATATTTCCTTAAGCACAGAAAAAAAGCACATGCATTCAAGGCATCTGGAAACTGAGTTGCTGTTAAGTGCTGGGGTGTACCCTCATAGCTAGTCAATAGCTGGGGGGTTCCCAGCCAGAAAATGCTATATATTTTGCTGGAGATCTTGGATGGCAACAACTTCCCCACTCTAGCTTTAAAACTATGAGCAAAATAGCCAAAAATATTTCCAATCCCTAGCTTGCATTATGATAAAACATGAAGACTGAATGCTTCTCTTTTCTCTCTTCCACCCACTCCTCCACCCTCAGCCTTCAATCAATGACTATCACTCAGCCTAACCTAATTTGTAGAATTGCTATAAGAAAGGGGGGAGATGACACACAGTGTCCTAAAATCCTCAGATATAAGGATAACCATTCACATGTTTTCACTCAACATAACAAAGCCAAATGTTCCTATTTCAAGAGATGAGAGTCTGCTTCAGTATGCTTAGTCATTAATTCAACCTCCATCATAAATGCAAGTATTCAGTCTTCTCATTTTGTCATAAGATCAACTAGGTCTTGGAAGTTTTTACTACTTTGTTTATTGTTCTTAACTTGAAAACAGCCTAAGATTACACTCATGCACTACTACTTTGTTTTATCAACAAAATACAGACCTAGCCAAAGAATTAATAGTTATACATGCAAAAGAATTATCCCCTGCCTAATGGGATGTACACATACCTTACTCCCTTCCTGGTCGTCTCCATCTTCTTCAGAGTCTGAGGCTGATCCCACTTTAGTGGTGGTTTTCTTTTTCGTCTCAACTTCTTTTTTCCCTTCTTTTTTCTCTGGGTCTTTTCTTACTTTGTCTTCTTCCCGTTGACTCTCTTCATCTCTTTTCTGTTTTTTAGGCAGTTTTTCATCAACTCCCTTTCGCTTGGTCTTATCTTCCTCATCAACACTAAAAAAAATCCCCAAAACAAAATAAACTTTCTTTCATCGTCTAGTTACCTCAAAAGTCTCCCTTTTGCTATGACAATGTCCCTTGAAAGTGAACTTCTACAAGGACGTCTAAGAGATTATCACACACAACAACATTTTAATGAAGCCTATGGAGTTACCAGTTAGTTTGTGATAACACCAAAGAACAAATGGAGGTGCTAACTGCACAAAATAGTACCTCGATAGAAGGAGTGTATAGTTCACTGATTTACCACCCAGGGACAAAAGAACACTATTCTCAATTGCCCAAGCAGTATGGTTTTAAAATATATAGTCTGCACATGGAGCCTTGTGTACATATTATATTTCAACTGTTTTTAAGCTGGCTTTCCTCAAAGCTATCAGGGCAGCATATGACTAAGTTAACAAAACACAAACAGAAAATAAACACCCAGGCACAGAACAGAGCAGCATGCAAGAACAACATGTTTTCACAAAAACAGATTGCACCCATCATATATAATATATTAAACTTCTACACTGATAAAATTAGTTAGGAAAGGAAAATCCAACTGAAAGAATCATAATGCCTTTATAGAAATCAATGGTTTAAATACTTCATTCTCAACCAGTTATGGGGTCTCAAAAAAGGATATTGTAGAACTGGAAAAGATAGGGAGCAGGCCAGTGATCAAGGAGCTCATGGAAATCTATGCTAAGAAAACTCAAAATATTTGGGATCTTATAGATTAGAAAAATGGCAGGTAATAGGAGACATGGTAAGAGTATTTCAGATCATGCACAGTATATAAAAGTGAGTGGAGAGAGAGATATTTTAATTCCTGTCCTAATATTATCTAAGTAACTCTACAGTGCAAGTTTCAAGAGAGAAAGAATGGACTGTTTCTTCACATAGCACACTATCACAGAATTGAATTTGTGTTGTCGAAGGCTTTCGTGGCCGGAATCACTGGATTGCTGTGAATTTTCCGCTGTATGGCCATGTTCCAAAAGCATTCTCTCCTGACGTTTCGCCTACATCTATGGCAGGCATCCTCAGAGGTTGAGAGGTCTGTTGCAAACTAGGCAAGTGAAGTTTATATATCTGTGGAATGTCCAGGTTGGGAGAAAGAATTTTTGTCTGCTTGAGGCAGATGTGAATGTTGCAATTGGCCACCTTGATTAGCATTGAATGGCCTAGCAGCTTGAAAGCCTGGGGGATTCTTGTTAGGAGATGTTAGCTGGCCCTGATTGTTTCTTGTCTGAAAACTCTAAAATCAGGACAGTAAATAAAGAGCAACACTCAGAAAACAGGAATTCCAGACAAGGTGGCCAACTGCAACTGCCACGCCCGCCTCAAACAGACTAGAGTTCTTTCTTTCACCCTCAACATTCCAGATATATACATCTAACTTGCCAAGTTTCCAACATACCTCTCAACCTCTGAGGATGCCTGCCATAGATGTGGGCGAAACGTCAGGAGGGAATGCTTCTGGAGCATGGCCATACAGCTTGGAAAACTCACAGTAACCCAGAATTGAATTTGTTTCCACAAGTTCAACTGAATGCCACTAATTGAAATGGCTTTGAAACAAAATTAAATGAATTAATGGAAAACAAGATCCTCCCTATGATCACATGTCAATTTATTCCAGGTGGTGGTGGTTGGGAAAATGTCAGAGAGCCTCAACTGAGGAACAAAGTTTTTAGCCAGTGCCTTCTGACATGGGTGGGCAATGTAAGACTTTTCACATGCTAGCAAGCTGCAGACCAAGACCTTCAGGAGGCACACATTGCATTTCCTGTGATAAAAGATGATCCTTTAGGGACTTAAGTCCCAGGCAGTGTAGGGCTATCATTAACTAGTTGCTCTGTCAGTTATATCCAGAAATGAGTGGTCAACTGCAGTCACACTTTGGGTCTGTGTAGGTTAGGTGGGTGATGTTCCCCAAACCTCAAGGAAGTAACCTCATTCACCCCCTTCCCTTTAATGTGCAGCAAGTTCATCTGATGAATTTTCTGTCCCTTAGTCTATATAAAAATTATACTCTAGTGCCATTTTCTCATTCAGTTCATTCTCTCTTTTTCATATTGGTAATCCTTTAACATGCATATCACCTGGTGCCAGTTCCCACAGTTAAAAACATTCAATTTACATATGACTCATAGTCAAGAACAGGGATGAGACAACAGGAAGTGAGAGAAATCTACCCCTCAGAAGGGAAATTGGTTCCTGGAAGAGTTATTATGGGAAAAAGGTGTCTCAACTGAAGCTTTATCCTCAATCCTTGTTTCCACAATAAACCAAAGTTTTCCAAAATCCAATTTTCAGAAGGACAGAAGTGAGGTGAAATTTTCTGAATAGGTGTAAAAACAGCAAAAGAAGCACGACTGGGGTGGTGACCCTTCCCTATGCTATCCAAAGCTTATCTATCCATCCATCCATCCATCCATCCATCTCTGGAGTTACATTTTAAAATGTACCTGTTACTTACAAATTCAACTTAAGAACAAACCTGTTCATAACTTGGGGACTGCCTGTATTAGTAAAGCACTCCATGGAACAAAACATGCTTCTTAAAATATGTGTGAGGGCATAGAATCCACATGTGGGATTGTAGAGACCATGAGGAATAGGCAAGACGTATTTGACATAATTTATATTAGTTAGTAACCTGGTTTCTGAATTTTACTCTGAATCTTCAAAAGCAGTCTTAAGCACAACTACTGCAATACTAGTGATCAAAGGGTTGCAATTGAAGCACTAGCCTCAGCCATCACAAGGAGACGAGCTACAGTTTCTCAGCTCCAGTATTTGAAGTTGGACCTTCATAGTAGGAGTCAAGGAAATGCAGTATTCTCAGTTTCTAACTCAGACAGACTACCCAAAAGTATACCCTACTGAAAGTTGGTCAGAATTTTAGAATATGTACACCGCTTCTGATACTCTCCTGATACCAGGATAATCCATGCAGTTTTCTTACTAAAACTATGCCCTGAAGCCATAATGAAAATGGCCAGGTTACCAGTTTTATACATTCAGGCTGGAGTTGAATTCTAATACTCGTGGCCTCAAAGGGGATATATTTAAGTGGCCCCTACTTAAAATCCGACTAGAATTAAGAAACAGTTTCACAGCTGCCTTCTTCAAGACAGCTGGTAATTCTTCACACAACAAACACCTTCTTCTGGACTCAGTCTGGCACTGACTTTTACAAGGAATCCAAAATGGCAAGGATCCAGAGATCAGGCAATCTTGTATGGTTCCAGAGGATTCTCTGCAATGGCATGCAGCTGACTTAGAAACTGAAAAATTCAGAAAAGGCCTTTAGCAGAAGGCATACAGGAATTTGCTTTGAGAAACTGATGTAAGATAGGTTATAAAGGTGAACAAAGGTTTGCCAGGGATACACTTGCACCATCAAATAAAGACAGATTAGTTCACTCACATAAATAGCTAGCTGTTGTATTTATAATCTATGAAATTTCTGCAATATTGTGCTGTTAATTTTCCAAGAGAAATTACTTGATTCAAGATTACTTGATTAAAATCTTTAAAACTCTTACGTGTCGCTTTCAGGAGGACCGGTTGGTTTTATCAACTTTGGTCGCCCTCTAGGTTTTGGAATCTTCGCTTCAGTAGCTATTTCATTAAAAAGATAGTTTTATTAAATATCACTACATCAGTTTAAATGTAATTGATCATCAAGAGACAAGACAGGCAATTAGAGTAGCATTATGAATCCCCAGAGCTCAATTTGAAATTTGAATTCTTTCCTCAGAAATACCAACTACAAAGCAAACAAGTTATTAAACCCAATATGGTGTGATTTCCATTTTCCCACCTAAAGACAACTAGATTCTGTCCTTAAAATGCTAGTTCATTCATATATTCATGCCGATAAATCTTTATGCAGCAAAACGTTTTGTCCACTATTCTTTTATGATCCCAGTAGAGATCATAAGGTGCTGTATAAGTACCTGAAGGAGATTTAAAAATTCTGGAGAGGCTGCAGAAAAGAAGAGCTAAAAGTCCTACTACAACGGTCGAACACTCTGCCTTGTGAGTGCGGTGGAAACTCCTTCCTTGGAAACTTTTAAACAGACTGGATGGCCATCTGTTGGGGGTGATTTGATTGTGCTTTTCCTGCATGGCAGGGAGTTGGACTAGATGGTCCATATGGTCTCTTCCAACCTGATTATTCTATGATTCTATGTTGCTACTTCTATTGCCACATGGGATTTCAGCTGCAGCATTTAGAGCAGCAGTGAGCAAAGCACAGCCTTACAAATCTTGTTGGGCCACAATGAATAATTGGCTATGCTGGCAATTGTATTGCTGGGAGCTGAGATCCAGCAATATCTCAAGAGTCGCCCTTTGCCATCTGTTGATTGAGGCACTCAAGATTCAAGAAGGGAGAGGCCAGACAGAAGACATATGTTAAACTAAGCCCATGTTGAGGGCTACAGAATGCTTCACGAAAAATTCTTTTTACAATCCAGTCCTACAAAACGGCTTGAATCCATCCATCAGTTCCAACTTGAATACATCTACGAAATAAACAAGTTAGCTTTCATAAGGCTATCAAATTCCCATTGATTTAAAGGGTGTACTTGAGTTGGAACTAACAATTGGATTTAGGATATTATTGTTAGCAAAATCAAGGAATTTGCCAAACAAATTATGTTCAACTGAGGTATCATGTTCATTTTAGCAGGAAGGACAATTATTTTTATATTAAGTTTTCTCTCTCATGAGTATAAGGCATTATTAGGGAATGTGTAGCTTTGACAATCTGAAATGGACTTAGAATAATACTGTTCTAGAACAGACTGATAAATGCTCATACAACTTATATGCTGAAGCATATATTGCAGAGCTCTAGCTTGCCAAGTTCCAGGGACTACTTATTATTAAACTGTGGGTCCTGACCCCAAATGAGGTGCCCTTAGCTCAATGTTGGGGTTGCAAAGAATTTGGCAACAGTAAACGTTTTCTGAATGCCACCTAGTGGCTGTTTTAGAAATCTACATGAATCTGTTGTGTAGTGTTTACCATGGACTCTGCAGAAGATGCTTCAGCTGTACTTCATAAAAAGCAAAATCAGCCTGTTTAGCAAGGCTGGCAAACGCTGATTTGTTAACAGTCAATGTTTGGTTTTTAAACCTGTTTTATATACCGATATACCTGGGGCCACATAAAAATGTACTGGACCAAAAGGGATTGCGAGTAGGAAAGTTCAAGAAACTCTGTTTTAGAGCAATCACTTTTATAACTTATGTGCTTTCTCTATTGAAGTAATCTATTCCACTTAAAATGCTTACATTTGATTTAGCAGGATTTTGAAATTTTGCTACATAAAATGAATTATCCCACAAATCAAGAAACAAAAGTTCTTGTTCAAGTACAATTACCAAGTTCATAAGTCTAAGAAGAGGCTTTCTAGAAAGTTGATGTCAGTGTGATGTTGTCCATGAATTCTCCCTCCTGAATAATACTAATTTTTGAAAGCCTAGGACCGAAAGACAAAGATGAGCCTTGATGTTTAAATAACAAGGAACTCTTTAGTAACTGAATCTTACCAGCTGGCCTTCCTCTTTTAGGGCTTGATTTTGGAACTGTAACCACTGCAACTGTGGTTGCCGCCACTGCTGCCTCTTCAAGTTCTGCTTGTTTTTCAGCCTGCATTAAAACAGTTACTTCATATGAATTTGACTTAATTTAGATGGCTCAAAGACATTAAAAATGCTCCACCATTATATACAGCATCTCTTAGATTGCAAATAATCTTACCAAGACACAATCTGAACAGAGGCCTGTACAACCTGTGGCTCTCCCAAGTGCTTGGGACTCCAAATCCCAGAAGCCCTAGTCTGCTTGTCTAAAGATTAGGAATTCTGGGAGCTGGAGAAAGTGTGTTGGGGCAGATGGGGCAATGCCAATCTTGTGCTGAAAAATCTATACATTGGCTGGATGCCGGGATAGGAATCTGCTCATGAAAAGATGCTCCCAGTATTTCCCTATGGAGAGAGAATGGAGGACATTTCCACAGATCCTTCCTCTTATCTGAAAATACATTCTAAACAGTCTGGGATAGAACAAAAATGTGAAGCAATGGCTCTAGCTCATCAGGACAATTTTTCCATTTCTGCTCATTAAAACCCTTCTGTCCACAAAAAGGGTCCTCCTAGGTGTGGAAAGATGACAATGGATTCAATTCACTATGCCTCGGGTTTGTTTAGGAGGAGGGACAAGATAAAACATAATTATTTCTCAAGTAGGATTATTCTCTTTAAATATGAGTTTCATGGATATATGCAAATTATACAAAAGGACTTCCATTTTTGGCACTGCTAAGTCACGGTATATCTCCAGTTACACTTTTGTTTTTATAAATATAGCTCCACGATAAATCAAATGAGAAATTAGTACCTTTCTTTTTCTCCCCCTTCTTGCAACCTTGGGAACAGGTTCATCACTTGTTTTTTCCACATCCTGCACAAAGGAAAATTATCTAAACCATTTTGAAAATCAAAATTTCACGATTATTCGCCTTCAACAACAACAAAACAAAAAGACTCCCTCTTTATTTCAAAGTTATTCAGAGCAACATGCTGTCTTAAATTTTAAAAATCTGCAGGAATTACCAACTGGACTCATACCACAGCCTCACCATCTCTTAGTAGGAAGCAAATATGGATGCCCACTATTTACACATCCCTAATCTTCCTGCCGATGATACGGTCAGAATTCAAAGAACTGGAGAACATGTGATGCCATGAACACTTCAGATATTGTTTTCTGAATCAGGAGACCATATATTAGATAGCAAATTACTTTTGAAACAGAGAAAAGTTTCCAAGCACTTTATGCTACACCTTTTCTAACACTACCAGTGCGCAAACTGCTTCATTTATTTATATACTGCTTTATATACAGAGAGGACTCAAAGCGGTTTACAAAAAAAATGGCAACATTCAATGTCTTACATACATAAACCAAATCATAAATCAAACAGCATATGACTAATCATAAAAACACAATAGGACAAATTCACCGTAAGATAATAGGACATTTAGACATGAAGTATAAAAATTAAAAATATCTAATAAAAACATTGAAATCATATGATCCAAACTGGTATACTGGGCCATTCCAACTATAATACAACTTCCTCCTTTGTGCCAGTAGTACTGTATAGAGTTGAATAATCTCATATGCAAATTCCCACTACAAATATCCTCCAGTTATTTTACAGGTTATAGCACCATTTCAATTCAGAAAGTTTTGAAATGCTGAATCCATGGGGTTTTTTAAGCTCTAATGTATCAAGGCATTGAAAGTTTGCTTTTTTTGTTTGTTGGAATCCGCCCTGAGTCCCCTTGGGGAGATAGGGCAGAATATAAATAAAGTTGTTGTTGCTATTATTATTATTATTATTATTATTATTATTATTATTATTAATATTATTATCTTCCACTTAGGAAAGTAATAGCTCACAATTGGACTGCAACACCTATAAATTCTAACATCTGACACTTACTCAAAACTATCTTATCTATCCCTTCTCATTCAAGGAATTCGGGATGGGGCACATGACACCATCAGTCCCACTGTGTGTAGTTAAATAGTGGATAATAAATAAGTATATGACTTTCTTTTTAAAAAATGCCTGATTTCAACTAGGCTAAATTGGTCATAATGGGAAAGGGGTGAGAGAATCATCAAAATGAAGAATGTTGAAAAGCAGGTAACACCTGCACATCCTTAACCAATTTGGCATTGTGAGTGCCTAACTACTTAACCAACTTAACATGAAGCTATATGTGCTTCTAGAGGTACTTTAAGCAATTAAAACACATGGCAATTTAACAGTTAGTTATATTTAGTGGTTCAACTAAAATTAATTGATGATGCCAAACAAGCAAAGCCATTGGGGGAAAGGAACAGTTTGTATGGGAGGAAACATTTGGTTAATGGGGTACATCATTTCTATTTTTCAGAATTCTGTGAAGCAGGGTCAAGTTAAATAAGAAGATTCACAACACACTCTTCAACATACTTCACTGGTAGGTTTTTCTGAAGAATCGTCCTCTTTTGGTGTTTCCATCTCTTTATCTTCCATTTCAACCTCAGAGTCAAGACTATCTTGCTTAACAGATCCCTAGGAATGAGATACCAAAATCATTAGCTATGCTTTACATTCAAATAACATCTGCTTAGGCACATAGGGATGGTATTAGTTCTATCTATAAGGCAGCATAAGTCTGTCTCAGATTTTGTTTTAAAATGGTAAATAAATATCCATGCATCTAGTTCTTCTTTCAGAAAAAAAAATGTGTACACACATAGCTTGACTTCTCTGAGACAGAAATGGGACTGACAGGCACAGATAAAATACCTGATCAAAGGGCTCTTAAAATACAGTTTACCTTGATATATCTTTATGTAAGCTTTTTACTGGCATCACTGAAGTTATCAAGAGGGAGCTCTCCACTAATGATACTTAAGGTGTATTGTTATGTATCCGATCCATGTTTGAGTCAGTGTTGCTGACTTGTGTGGCTTCCCTGTTTCTTGACCCAAGATTTTATTTATTTATTTGTTAATTAATGTTGGCTTTCTCTCAAAGAGGGACTCAAAAGTAGCTCACAGAAGAAACCAGTTAAAATTAGAAAAGTCAATGCTATCATAGGAGGATGTACACAACTAACTCCTAACACCTGCTGAAGAGGACTTTTAAAAATACGTTAAGGTTCATGAACAGAATTTGAAAATACATTGAATCTAGCAGATTTTTAAACAATACAGCCCCTGCTGGGCTGTAGCCCAGGGATCAGCCCGAAACAAACAATAAACTTTATAAGGCATTGTTACAAAAACATGGAGAGGGGAAAGGCTATGGCACACACTCACCACATTAAGAGCAAGTATTATTTCCAAAGTATGTACATTGCACCCATTCTTTCTCTCTTATTTCAATATTATGGCTGTCATCGTATCAGCAGAGAACGTCAAGCTATTTTTAGAACATGGCCCAAAATGTTTTGTATACGGTTAACTTGAAATCACTAGGAATTTATAACATTTTCCATGTCTAAACAAATTGTTTTCTTCAACATGTCTATACCCGATTTAGGCCCCATGGTCACTCCCACGTTTCCTCTTTAACACTTCCCCAGCTCACCATGATTTTTTTTTCTTTGATCCCTACCATTTTAGTGACAAGATGATAAGGCATTATGTCAAGCACTTGAACCTCAAAACACAAAACCAGCAAGCCATCATCATTCACTGCCCTTCCCACACAAACATATTTTCTACCCTGAGGACAACAACTCTCAACCTGATATTTTGTCAACTCACAGAGTTCATCGCGAACCTCCATAATCTACTGTTTTGGGATTCAAAACTTTTCCTAGATACTCTGCAACAATTCAAACAGAAAAATTGTTCAGGAGGTAACAAGATACATTCTCACTATGTAGTTTTAACTCCAAAATCCATGCATGGTGCAGCAATGCAATTATTTAATCATCAAATCAGAAGAAGCCATCCAATCCAACCTTCTGTGATGCAGGAACACACAATCAAAGTACTCCTGACAGGTTGGCATCCAGCCTCTGCTCAAAAACCTTGAGAAGAAGCCCATCCAAACAGACAAAAATTGTGAGCAAGGTGTCAAGACCTCCAGCTCTTTTCATAAGGCAAGAGGTTGCAAAAGCTGAAGTAGGAGGTTCAGAGAAGGAGGCAAAAGAGTCCAACTTGATATTGAAATAATTAAATCTATGTCAATCAAAAGATGGAGGAGACTTAGACTGAGATGTATTAAGTTCCATCAGGTGCCACACAAGGAGTTAGTAATTCCTACAACATATTGGCCAACCAAGCAGGATTTTACAACTATAGGAAATTCTCTACAATTAGAAGAGGGAATATTACTTATTAGTTGCCACCTTTCTTCAAAAAGTTAGTATTTATTTATTGGACTTCTACTGATACTATTTTTATGCCAGAGACCACCCAAAAACATCCTTTATTTGTATTCATATAAAACTATTGTGTCTCTTTTTATTTTTGCTCTGCATATCTATGTATTCTCCCTAAACTTAAAGACAAATCAAGGTTAACAAATGGATTACACAAATATATACAATCAGATATTATGGGGTTTTGTTTTTGCTTAGCCTGACAGTCCTAAGCATGAAGCTACAGAAAAATAAAATTATAAAAAAGTTAAAATATTAAAAATAAAACATTTTAAAAGCAGTTATATGTTTCAATATGGGAAAGAATGCATTCTTGAATACTCCCTACCACCAATAGTTTTCTACATTCACAAATAACAAAAACATGAAAAGCATTTGGTTGGATAAAGTGCAAAACTCAAGACTGCTGTATTTAGCACACAATATGAACAATTAATGAGCATGAGAATTCTTTACTATTCTGTTTTGAGATGCCACCTCAGCCATTTTAAAATCTGAAGCTAGAGAAAAACTGCAAAAAACAAACATGTTGGCCATTTGAAATTTTCCAAACTGAAGGGGAATTGTCGAAGGCTTTCATGGCCGGAATCACTCAGTTCTTGTGGGTTTTTTCGGGCTATATGGCCATGTTCTAGAGGCATTTCTCCTGACGTTTCGCCTGCATCTATGGCAAGCATCCTCAGAGGTAGTGAGGTCTGCTGGAACTGGGAAAAAGGGTTTATATAGCCTTGGCAGACCATGCAAAAAGAATCTGCGAACCTAACCTCCTCCAAATGAACTGAACCACCTAAACTGGGCTCTCCAGGCCAATGGATACTCCACCACAGACATCAGAAGAGCTGCAAGACCGAGAACAAGACGAAGACCCACCCAGAGGAAAAGTGTTCTTGCCATACATCAAGGGAACCACTGACCGCATAGGGAAGCTGATGAGGAAACACAACATACAAACTATCTACAAACCCACCAAGAAAATCCAACAAATGCTACGTTCAGCAAAGGACAAGAGGGATCCTCTCACCTCTGCAGGAGTCTACCGTATACCATGCAGCTGTGGACAAGTCTACATAGGGACCACCAAACGCAGCGCCCAACACGAATCAAGGAACATGAAAGGCACTGCAGACTACTCCAACCAGAGAAATCAGCCATAGCAGAGCACCTGATGAACCAACCTGGACACAGCATTTTATTTGAGAACACAAAAATGCTGGACTACTCTCACAACCACCATGTCAGGCTACACAGAGAAGCCATTGAAATCCACAAACATGTGGACAATTTCAACAGAAAGGAAGAAACCATGAAAATGAACAAAATCTGGCTACCAGTATTAAAAAATTCTAAAATTGCAACAGCAAAAACAGCAGAGAGAAAAACAGGCAGGGACATCTAATCACCTTTCAAGAAGAGTTTGCTCCAGGCACAGTCAGCCCATTGTATGCTAATCAAGGTGGTCAGTTGAAAGATTCACACCTAGCCCAACTTACAAAAGCCCTTTGTCCCACCCTGGTCATTCCACAGATATATAAACCCCTTTTTTTCCCAGCTCCAGCAGACCTCACCTCTGAGGATGCTTGCCATAGATGCAGGCGAAACGTCAGGAGAAATGCCTCTAGAACATGGCCATATAGCCCGAAAAAACCCACAAGAACTGAAGGGGAATTGTTTCAGCTATAACATAAACTACATTTCTTATACTGACTTTTACCATAACTATTAATTATTACATTTTATAAGGGGCCGCCAAGCTGCAGAAATTGCTGACCAGAAGATCGGCGGTTCAAATCCCCAGGACGGTGAGTTCCCGTTGTTAGCCCCAGCTCTGCCAACCTAGCAGTTTGAAAGCATGCAAATGCGGGTAGATCACTAGATACTGCTTTAGCGGCAAGGCAACAGCACTCCATGCAGCCATGCCGGCCACATGACCTAGGAGACGTCTACAGACAATGCCAGCTCTTTGGCTTAAAAATGGAGATGAGCACCACTCCCAGAGCCAGATTCAACTAGACTTAATGTCAAGAGGAAACCTTTATCTTATTACATTTTACTATGACACCGCATATGAATCATTGCTGTCTTAAGATTCCTTTGTCTCAAGACTCCAAGCACGAAGATGTCAGTATAGTAAGCCCATTTTTTCCTTGTCTGATGTAGAAATCCAGAGTCTTTGAAAGCTTGCTCATAATTTTGTGCATAGGAGTTGACTACAGAGTCAACTCCTATTTCAGAATCTAGAGATTCCTAAGGTTTTCTCTCTGGTAAAAACAAAATGTTTTTTTGAATTCAATTTTGCACTTTGCACTCCTATCCCCAGCAAATGTGGAAGGCTAGCTATATTTCAGCTGTGCACTCGATCCTGGAAGTGTGAAATTTATTTCTGTATCATAAGCAATTAGTATTCTACACTTCATTTTGGAAGATCAATCTTATGAAGTAACTTTTCAGCCCCAAAAGGGCTCACAAGGAAGAAACAATTTATTAGGCAAGAACAGGAGAAATATATTTGAAAATTTCCAAGATACATTTTAAAATTGTTCAGATGCCAGGAAGCAGAACTAATCCACCCCTCAGACCACATTTTGATAAGTTGACAGGGGTAATAATTCTACACTTTATTGTACACACTCTACATGGTTAATGTTGTTTTACTACTGGTAACCAGGCAATTTGTCAGTGACCACTTTTTCCACGGCATTACTTCCACTAGCTTCTAGTTTCTTTCTTCCAAGAAAGGACACGTTTTTCGGAGGGAGGAGTTTAAATTATTTTTGCTAGGGAAATGCCACTATTTTCCTAGAAACTCCCCCTATAGATTTAGCTAAGTTGATAAGAAACATGTTAATAGAGAGAAATTGAGCATGCCGAAGAAGAATCCAAATGAGCCAAACAACTGTTTATTGCTAAAGCTTTAAAAATAGGCAATTTAGAACTCTTTATGTTGTATCGGATCATAAAATATCTAACTTCCCTCACATTTATTCTGTGATTTTCTCTTCCTTAACATTTTTAAAAATAGGTTACTTTCTTAACCAGTTTCCTATTATATCCACATCACAAAATTGATGTTTTCCCCAAAGCAAGATGCAAAATCAGGATGGGATCAACTCTTAGGTAAGGATCCACAATTCAAGAAAAGCTGTTGACAGGTCTTGATGTTGCAGTGGCATACTAATTCGCAGTTAAAATTCAGCTTTCTTTGAAACAGAGGCCACAGACAGGCAGAACGAATAAACTAGATGTGATGGTGGCAGATCTGTGCATGAGAAAAGGTCTGCAAATGGGGTAGGTCTGGGTGCATATACATATGCATCTTGCAAATTAAACAGAGTGGTTTGGCAGGTAACGAAAAGATGCTGTATCTGCCACCAGTGACACTGTCTCTTCACAGTTGTTACCACCTCAGTGAACTTGGCCCATGTTTGAAAGTATTTCTCCCTTGGATTTTTGAGATTTCAGAAAACAGTGCTGCAATTTCAAGGTAAAGTCTACGATTTTTTTCCTATTTGTGGTACTTTTTGCATCAATACTTTTGTCCAACTTAACAGACAACTGAGGCCCCTTCCACACAGCTGAATAAAATCCCACATTTTCTGCTTTGAACTGGGATATATGGCAGTGTGGAGTCAGATATTCCAGTTCAAAGCAGATATTGTGGGTTATTCTGCCTTGATATTCTGAGTTATATGGCTGTGTGGAAGGCTGCTGAGAAGTTTATCTTATAGCGAAAGGGGGCTTACTTTTGATTTACTTTTTACAAAAGAAAGCTGAACAAGGCAGCAGTATCTTTCACAGATTCAACAAAACGTAACACTAAGTATGATGAGGGATTTATATGCCATTTGCTACCCTATAGTGATCACAATACTTTACAAATAATATTAGTGAAATAAAAATGCTAAAAATGCTGATATATATATATGTGTGTGTGTACTGCCAAAATATTAAGATCAATGTCTGCTTTTTTCATTACTACAGTATATATAAATATGGGTGAAAAGATTGTTTTACACTGAAGTTAGAAGAAAGCACATTTAAAGCAAAACCCACATCCCAGAAATATATAGTCCAGTGAGGCTTATTTCAAGAGAAGATGGTATAGCAAAAAGGACAGTATTAGAAGATTATTTTATTTTTCATTCATTACATAATTAGCACAAAACCAAGTGTTATAAATATACTCTCCTGCTACTAAAACCAGATCCTACTCATTAATCACTAAGGCTCTGATTCATCTATCCATTTAATGAATAACTTTCAACTCTAATTATTTGTCATACTGCTACTGATAACCCAATTATGCAGTAAACCCGACTCCAAAAAGCAGCTCCTATGAAAGCCATTGATTTATGATGACTTACTTTAAGAGCAGTAGCTTTCCTCCGTTTAGGCCCCATTTTTTGCTCACTTTCCTCTGTAGCATCTATATTAGTATCTTCAGGAGTTTCTTTATCATCTGCAGTGTTAACAGCTGGCTGGGACTACAAACAAAGAGAATACCACCCACATAAATAAATCAACAGCAAAAGCATGACAGTATCGATACGTTTCAAGGGAAGTGATTAAAAAAACATTTGAAATGTTTTTAAATATTCTGGTGATGTTCATTCTATCTCAGACTTTGAGGAGGATATAGGAACAAAACAAAGTACATAGTAATTTGTCTACAAAACATGCATCCTAATTCAAGAGTCTCATTAAATACAATGGAGTTTATATTCCAGTAAATGTGATTACATTTGTGCCCCAAAACTAAAGTACTTTAATAGTCGAAATTTTGAAAAACATGTAGTACATTATTTGGCAAGCTATGATAAGAATATGGAAACAGAGGATTTATTTACACGTTGCCCTCTAAAGCAGTGATCTCAGATTATTTGACTGGGCAGATTCTTCTCCAGTGTGCCAGGGACCAGTACTGTATTGTATTGGTGCCCATAATTATTTGTTTCTTGGAAATTTGCATGGGATTGGTACACGACAGTTTGCGGGCTGGTACGAGCCCATCATCCACCATTCTGAACAGAACTGTTCTGAATGACAAGAGTACAAGTAACCAAGCCCAACCCATCAAGTCTATATATTCGCTTCTGAAAGACAAACTTTCTAATGACTGTTATTGAAGAATATTTCAAGGACTTGTTTTTGTCTTGTTTACAATTCTGACAGGATCCATACTGGTCCTCATTCTTTCATGTTGCAACATTTGCATTTCTAACTTACTCTGGTAGAAGCTGTCTTTCCTAAGGAAAACCCTCAACTGTCCCCAAATCTTAAAGGCACCATCAGAAGGTACCGTAGTTATCTACTTGTTTGCGTAAAACTGAGCAGATACTCCAAGACGTACTGAAAGAAATACCTTCCAGTGAACACTATTTGCAGCAACTGCTAGGTAACACACAGTCTTCTAAAGCCACTCCTTAAATTGTGGATTCTGATCCCAAATGCTCAATGTTGGGATCATAAAAATGTAGTAAGAGAAAAACGTTTCTTCACATCACCTGGACATTTATTAAAAAAAAAAATCTGTTAGCAACAACAGGAAGAGTTTAAAGTAGTCTCTGCAGATGATGCTTCAGTTGTATTCCAAAAAAAGTAGCCAGTTTAGCAAGCTTTGCAAATGCTGATTTATTATCAGGAAATGTTTGATTTTTATACCTTTTTTATATACCTATATACAGAGTAAGGCAGCATAACTTCCTTTTTTAAAATGCGTGCCATTCAGTCAGTTGAAGACATAGCGGAGCGCTAGTGGTCTCATTTGAGAGGCGGGAGTATAACGTTTTGTCCTGACACAGTTCTGTTGCCATCTTGCGCTGGAACAGTGAGGAGCGTGCTTTTGCCATTGAAGCCTACTTTTCGAGCGGATTTGGAGTGGTTGGCCCACTCTCCAGATTTGACCCCTTGTGATTTTTTTCTATGGGGTTTTTTGAAATCCCGTGTTTATGTGAACCGTCCAAGGACCCTACAAGATTTGAAGACCAACATCCAGGAAGAAATTGCCAACATACCGCCTGCTATGCTGGCAAGAGTCATGACAAATGCCAGAAATCGGTTTACTCAGTGTATGGAGAATGGGGGATGTCACCTACCTAATTTGATCTTCAAAAGTACGTGAAACAAAACTTTAGGTATGCGCCTACATTATAAAAAAAAATTCTGATTCATACAATGGGTTTTATTAAGTTTTGGAAAAAGGAAGTTATGCTGCCTCTCCCTGTACCTGGGGTCATGTAAAAATTTCTCAGGCCACCATCTCAATTATACTGCTGTAGACAACTTGAGACTTGGATATGACACTCAAAGGAACAGGAAACCAGCAGGAATATTTCTTATAATGTGGAACTTACCTGCTGACTAGAAAATTTAACTTTGGGGTTGTTGTCTATTTCCCACAATCCTTCGTTAAAGCCTTTTCTTTTATTTGGCTTGCCATATTTTTCTTTATTTTCAGCATAGGGGAATATATCTTTTGGTCCCAAATATGCTCTATAAAAGAAAGGAAATACTTATTGTATTCTACATACATTCTATGTTTTGCACATCATACTCATTAAAACTACTGTTTTGAAGAGTTATTGTTTATAACTATTCTTTAAGAATATATTTAAAGATTTCTAAACAATTAACAAATGCCTCACCAAACAGCCCTGATAAAAGACAAGTCATGGGAAAAACCAGAAGTGCTTTTAGAGGTTAATAAATTCAACAATCCAGTGCCATTTATTCCCAAAGATATTGAAACTTGTTTTTGATAATAAGCCCTCAAGCATGAACATATGTATGCATCATAAAAAATGGTTAAATATATCTCTATGAGAATCCCTAAACCAAAATTTAATTTACTGTATATACTCGAGATAAGCTGGGTCTTTCAGCCCTTTTTTAGGCTGAAAAAGCTCCCCTCAGTTTATACTCGAGTCAAAATTATTTATTATTTTGTTATTATTATTACATTATTTTACTCTTAATTATTATTTATTACATTTATTATGTTATTCTATGTATTATTATTACTTTTATTATTTTCACCTATTTTTATTACATTTATTATTTTACTCTATTGTTATTATTGCATCTCTCATTTTACTCTACTGTTACTGATATTTTTATTACATTATTTTACTCTCTATTATTATTGGAAGGATACGTAAGCACATTTACATTGAAGAAAGTTAGAATAATGGTTTAATCCGAGTTGGACAATCTTATCTTAAAGTTTTTTGTAAATATTCAAAAGCATTTAACCTACTGATGCCTCAATTAATGTAATTTTATCTATTGTTATTTTGAAATTTACCTGTAGCTGTTGCATTTCCCACCTTCAGCTTATACTCGGGTCAATAAATTTTCCTAGTTTTTTGTGGTAAAATGGAGTGCCTTGGCTTATATTAAGTGGGCTTATACTCAAATATACACGGTGTTTCATTTTTATCATGCTTTCCTCCAAATGTGGCTAGCATTATAAAATTTAATGGGTACTTTGCAGGTTTAGCAATGTTACCGCAATGAAAAAGGACAATTCAACATTAGAATTATTAGAGAAAGGTTTGAAAAGAAACAAATATCATAGCACCAAACATATATTTCCCATCCAGATTTTGAATAGTATGTATAGAACTAAGTACATTTCAATACTAAAACATTAGGCAAATTAGAAATCAGCTAGATGAAGAAAAAGCTGTCACAGGAAATATGGTTATGCCCCTGGATCTCAAATCTTGATATTCAGCTTTGACACTTATCCTGCTGCTCTTGCTAAAATATGACTGAAAGATTTGTGAAAGGTCTAATCTGGTAAGAACTAAACCGCTTTTCTACAACACATTTCTAGGTAAGTGGACACTGACTCTAACCAGAGTAACTCCTCCTTTATAACTATAAAAATACAACTCAGGAGAGCAACATATTAAAGAATGCGAAAGGAGGCAATGTCAGCAAGACTGTAGTTATGACAACCTGCAGAAAACCCAGTGATTGCTATATATCAATACAGACATCATTTCATAGAGCTACCAGGTCAACAAGCTCTCTTTCCCTTCCCATGCCCTTGGTGCATTATGTCTTCTTAATTTGATTTCTTCCAGTCCCTCCCCCAGAATTGCGCACTGTATCCCTCCCCCCTTCTGTTCTCCCTACCGGCTGCTGCTTAACAGAATTAGGCCGGCCAGTTGCTGAAGGCAGCAAAGAACAGCATGAGAGGCAGCCAATTTGTTCCCTTTCCATTCAGGGGAGGTGGGGAGAGTGCAGTTTCTCCAGATGTTGTTGGACTGCAACTCCCGGCTCGGGCACCACAGGTAATGGTGGAGAATGCTAGGATCAGTGGTCCAGCATCACAAGTGCTGTACAATTCCCACTCCTGCCTTACATTGTCCTCCATAAACAGCTGTTTTAAACCCAATTAGTTCAGTCAGAGCAGCCAATTGGGGCAAAAATGGCTTATCTTGATTTTCAGCGTAATTGATAGTCTAAGGCATATTTCCAACAGTCAGGTTAAAGCCACAAGTTAAAGCCAGGGAGCTGTTTCGTGCACTCAAAATGACACAGCCATCTCTTCCTGACACATTTTCTTTGTGGCAAGGCCATAACCACAAGTGCAAGGTAAAACAGGATAACTATCTGAGATCAGCCTTTAGGAACCAAAGATTCTCAAAGCTTGTTTCTGGAAACTCTTTACTCTTGAGTTTATTTTCTTCATATGCTCACTTATGCCCTCCAAGATAGAAGTATTGGTTAAGTTTCTTCTACAGCCAAGAAACTATCTAAAGCAGTATGGCTTTTCATATTCAAGACTTACGTTTCATGTGTGCCAAAAAAGAATATAGGCATCTTATTTGTGGGTGGCTTCACTGCTCCATCAGGAACTTCATCCACCTAAAGAAGAAAATAATATTTGGTATAACTATGATGTGTGGATCTGAGTAAAAATTCATTCTACAGAGTTCTTCTCAATGTCCTTACAGAAGTGTATATAGACAGCACAGACAGAGAAAACAATAATTCCAGAACATTATTATAAGAAAAACCACTCGTCCTGGGCACAGATGTTCAAAGATCCCAATTGTTACTTAGAAATCTACACAATAAAATGATCAAACACAGACAATGCACAGAGAACTGATATTTAACCTCCCCAAATTAAAAATATATATCTCAGACCAATTCCTGCTGATACTATGACAATTTTGAAAGTCATGAAGTCCATGAACCTCCATCATAGAATCAAAGAGTTGGAAGAGACCTCATGGGCCATCCAGTCCAACCCCCTGCCAAGAAGCAGGAATACTGCATTCAAATCGCCCCTGACATCATCATCACCATAACCATCATAGGTGGCTGAGTATGACTGCCTTCCAAAGGCAAGTCTTGATGGTGGGTCTGTGACTGTGAAGACCTATTCTGAATCTGTATGGTCTTTCACACTGAGAACGTACATTTCCAGATAGAAGGCAGTCACAAAGGTTTGCTTGGGACGCTTTTCTCTTGGCATGTTTCTCCCTTTTGCTCTCTATTCATGCCTCTTCAAAATCCCAAGCACCATAGGAACAGCTGATCTCCAGGGTAGCAGGGCTTCCCAGGGTAGCAGGGCTTCCCAGTTCTTTATGTTTATGTCACTTTTTCGGTTAGATTTAAATCTATCTTTAAATTCCTTTTGTTGTCCACTGGCATTTTTTCTGTTCTTAAGATTTTTGTGTCTGTGTGTGTGTCAGGAGCAACTTGAGAAACTGCAAGTTGCTTCTGGTGTGAGAGAATTGGCTGTCTGCAAGGACGTTGCCCAGGGGACACCCAGATGTTTTACCATCCTTGTGGGAAGTTTCTCTCATGCCCCTGCATGGGAAGCTGGAGCTGGCAGAAGGAGCTCATCTACACTCTCCCCGGATTCAACCCTGTGACCTGTCAGTCTTCAGTCCTGCTGGCACAAAAGTTTAACCCATTGTGCCATCGAGGGTTCATGTTATTAAGATTAGAATAAAGAAGCTGCTTTGTGAGATGGTGATCGGATATTTGGAAAATGTAGCCAGCCCAGCAAAGTTGACAGTAGAGAATCGTTTCAATGCTGGTGGTTTTTGCTCCTTCCAGAACACTGACATTTGTCTGCCTGTCTTCTCAGGAAATTTGAAGAATTTTTGAAAGCAACACTGATGAAATCGCAGAACAGTTCCTGCCAAACTATGACAATTCAGCAAGTTACAAAGTCCATGTCACTCCATACTTCTGAGATGACACAGCCCCACAATTCGTAAATATATATAATTTTTTTGATACGGAGATTATGGAAGTATTCAGTCATGATGTCACAATAGTATACAAAACAGTTCCAAGATGGGTGTTAAAATCATCATTCTTTTTAAATATGGGCCCCCACAAGCCAGCAAGTCAAAAGCAAATCTATCATAAAATTTGAATATTAGCTGGGAGAAAAGCAACTTGTAGTACAATTCTTAGTACTCATTACCTAGAAGTGGAGTTTGTAGACACACCCACCAAAATGGTTCATATGACTCATCTAATCCCCTCCTTACATTTGTGTGCACAGAACATATCCCCAGAAACCTGCCTTAGTGGGGATGAGCAGTTGCCTGATGCATGCTGCTTGATTGCTTCCACTTACAGTAGGAAAAGCTAAGCGAACAGCTTAGCTTATCATGTTCTGTGAAGCCAGGAGATGCTACCATTCTGGTTTGATTGTTTTCCAACAAACTAGAAACACAGTCCATAGCTTGTTTTTGATCTGTTCTAACTTTTAACAAGCTGAAAGACTGTTATTCTTTTTACTATCACAGATGTGAAAAATGAAGCAATCCAGAAAGAAAAAGAATCCAGGAAGATTATTACAAGGATCACCACTGCCCCTGAGAAGCAATCAAAACAATTTATGAATTTCACATTCAATTGGGTAAGTTCTTTAAATGCTACCTCATGGACCATCTGAGCATTTGTGCTCCAGATATAAAGGCACACCAAAAGTCATGAACCAGTGATTTTTAATGCTGTGTCAGACAAAAATGGATTCAAATGAAAATAAATAATGAGAATCCATGCAGAAAGATGTTCTGGAGTTATTTTTTCTTTACCAGCTGCTGCTTCATGACATGCCTGGTTATAATTTTTGTAGCACATTCAGAAGAAACAAGAGAAATATAAATATGGAAAATCAGAATCAAGAAACCAGTATGATCCATCAAATTTGTGCCACTGAATTCTGCAACTGCAACTGAATTCTTTGCTTATTGACAAACACTGAAGAGATGCGAAGATGGGTATATGAATAATCATGAAGACCTGTGCTCCAATCTAATTCTTGGTGCACTGAAATATGTGTGTGTTTACAACTTAAAATAAATATATGGCTTTGGGGAAAAATCAGCAATTATACATTCATTTTAGTTACTTTAGACGATAGTTGACTACAAATCCTAGAATTTCAGACCACAATCCAACTACTAGTCCCAATCAAAGTAGGTGCATTAATCCAAACTGGAATTAGCAATTGAATGTAGAATGTAAGTAGGAATCAAGCAACTCTCAGCATTTTTCACTATCACATAATCCAGTATCTGGAGGAGTGAACGATTCTATGGATGCATCTGTACTGTTGAATTAACGCACTTGGACATCACTTTAACTATCATGGCTCAATGCAATGGAATTATGGAGCTTGTAGTTTTACACAGTATTGAGCCTTCTCTGCTAAAGAATACTGGTGCCTCATCAAACTGCAACTCCCATGATCATAGTATTGAACCACAGCAGTTGAAGTGTAGGTGCATCCGATGTAACACTGGCCATGCTGCCTGAGGTTTCAGATAGGCTGCATCAAACTGATTTTTAAAGCCACAAAAGATTAATTCTTTTTCATCATTTTGAAAAAAAAAGGTGATAAGAATCATTTCCGACATTTTTACAAAAAGCCTGACCAAACAGATCCAGATCAAATTATCTAGCTATATTTAGGTTTGCTGTTAGCAACGTACTTCACTTACAGAAACTAGCGTTCTGATAATGAAAGCATGCAGGTTCCTTTATGTTCCATTAAAAAAAACATATACAGTAGGCTTCCTGTTAACTGGCACCAATGGGGATTGGTAGATGCCGGATAAATGTAGGTTTTGGTCGCTTTAGTTACTATTAAAAACAGGCCTAACTAATACAATACTCTGTATTGACTTCATATTAACACTGAAAGAAAGAAATTAAAAGCAAATTAAGACAATTTCAGATAAACATAATGTAACACAGTTTTACTGTATTTATACATTATACATGTATTATACATGTATTATATTTTTTATTTGAAGTATTATTTCTTCCATTTCCCCCCAAAATTGCTTGAGTTACATTTAACTGGAAGTCTACTGAATTATCACAGAATATGGATGAGAATCATGCACTCATCCAAGTGACATTTAACTGCACCCAGTAGCATTCTTCACCATTAACTATATTGGCTAGGGCTACTGGGCCATGCAGTCCAGTATTGGGGGTTGAACAGATTATTTTAACCCACAAAAGATTAAATGTAACACCTTCAACATTCTTCACATTAAATTATATAATCTCTGTTTTAGGCTTCCTGAGAGAAATGCACTTCATTTACACACATTAAGGGTCCTTATAATGAAAGTATGCAGGTCTTTTTAAGTACAGACAGTCCCCAAGTTACAGACAAGATAGATTCTGTAGGTTTGTTCTTAAGTTTAATTTGTATGTAAGTTGAATTAAGTACATTTTAAGTGTAACCCCAGCCAAATATATATAAGCTTTGGACCGGACAGGGAAGGGTGAACACCCCTGTGGAATTTGTTTTTCTGTCTGTGGCCCCTATTCAGAATATTTCCCCTCACTTTTGAAAGTGAGAATTGGATTCTGAAAAATGTAGCATGTGGAAACAAGGATTGGTGAAAAAGCTTCAGTGGATAACCCTTTTCTCCATTATAACTCTTCCAGAAGTGAATTTTCCTTCCGAAGGGCAGAGGTCTCTCATTTCCTGCTGTCTCACCACCCTCCATCCTTCTTAACTGAGTCGTTTGTATGTCAGATGTTTGTAACTTGAGGACTACCTGTATTTTAGTTAATACAGCGAAAGATATCGCAATAACTAAGACTATTTTGAAAAAGGATTTGTACTTTGAGTGTATATATGCCTGTATTATTTATTTATTTATGGTATTTATATGCTGCCCTTCTCACCCTGAAGGGGACTCAGAGCGGCTTACAAGTAATATACAATACAATAAATACAGTATCTTCCTGGACCCCTCTCTTTACTCTCGTCCCAGAGCAGCACACATACACTACTACTAGTAGTACTACTACTACCACTACTACTAATAATAATTTCTTACCCACCTCCTCTCATGGCGGGTTACAAAGCAATTAAAATACATAAGCACAGCAAAACACTACAAATACACTTAAGCAGGCATGGGCAAACTTGGGCCCTCCAGATGTTTTGGACAGGAGTTGAAGTTCAAAACACATGGAGGGCCCAAGTTTGCCCAAGCCTGGACTAAAACATATCTCCATAAAAGCTACACATCAAAACGTATTGCTCTCTACAAAATACATACTAAAAAACACAAAAGAAATCAAACAGGATTGCTGTGAGTTTTCTGGGCTGTATGGCCATGTTCCAAAAGCATTCTCTTCTGACATTTCACCTGCATCTATGGCAGGCATCCTCAGAGGTTGTGAGACCGCACAACCTCAGAGGATGCCTGCCATAGATGCCAGCGAAACGTTAGGAGAGTGCTTCTGGAACATGACCATACAGCCTGAAAAACTTACAACAAAGTAAAGGTTTCCCCTTGACATTAAGTCTAGTTGTGTCCGACTCTGGGGGAGGGTGGTGCTCATCTCCATTTCTAAGCTGAAGAGCCAGCGTTGTTCGTAGATGCCTCCAAGGTCACGTGGCTGGCATGACTGCATGGAGCGCCATTACCTTCCCACCGAAACGGTACCTATGGACCAACTCACATTTTCATGTTTTCTAACTGCTAGGTTGGCAGAAGCTGGGGCTAATGGTGAAAGCTCACCTTGCTCCCTGGGTTGAACTGCAGACCATTTAATCAGCAAGTTCAGCAGCTCAGCAGTTTAACCTGCTGCATCACCAGGGGCTCCTGGTGAATATATATATATATATATATATATGTACTAGCCGTCCCCTGCCACGCATTGCTGTGGCCCAGTCTGTATATATGTGTTTGTGTGTGTATATATTTGTGTATATGTGTGTTTCCATATATATGTGTAGTTTTGCACATGCATTGTAATCTATTTTTTTATTTTTTTGCTTTTTAAGTCCCTTCCCCTGTGTTTGTCAATGTTTTTATGTTGGCCTGATAGGTGTATTGTATCCAAATTTGGCGTCAATTTGTCCAGTGGTTTTTGAGCTATGTTAATCCCACAAACGAACATTATATTTTTGTTTATATGTATATTTTTGTTTATATGTTCCCTGCCACGTGTTGCTGTGGCCCAGTCTGTGTATATGTGTTTTGTGTGTGCATATATGTGTGTTTGCATATATATGTGTGTGTGTGTGTGTTTTTGTGCATATGTTGTAATGTATTTTCAAATTTTTGCCCTTTTAAGGCTCGTCTGCTGTGTTTTTCGGTGTTTTTATGAGTGAGGGTCACTCATTGGCCTGACAGGTGTATTGTGTCCAAATTTGGTGTCAATTCGTCCAGCGGTTTTTGATTTATGTTAATCCCACAAACGAACATTACATTTATATTTATATGTATATATCTCAAGCACATCCACTGGAAGGAAAATGCTGCTTCTACTTAATGGTGCCAAAACCCATCAAAAGACGAACGCAGGAAACCAGTATGTGGGCATCTGCAATGTGACTTCCCGCGCCACAAACACACACACACACCCCTCCTCTGCTGTTAAAGCAAGGAGGGAGGATCCATAAGGAAAACAAGGGCAAAGCATGGGGAGCCGAGCCATTTCAAGAGGACGCTTTCTCCGAAAAGGTGTGTTTGCCTGGGAATGGCAAAAGCATCAACAGCTGCAGGTGTTTCTCTCCCCCAAATTGGGTCTGGTGCCTTACCCTGGCCGGCCAATGGGGATAGCCTTTCATCTTGGCGAAGATCAGGTCCCCAGGTTTGAAATCGAGGCTCATGTTGCTGCTGCTGAGTGAAACACCTGGGTCGGGTTTTCACGTGAACGAGCGTTCTCACGAGCAGGTCCTGAAAAAAAGGGGGAGGAGGTAAACAGAAGCAGGCAATTATAGAGGATATATATAGCTGGAGCCTCCCCCTTCCACAGTCGGCCAAGGCTCTCTCCTCCTCACCCCGTTTTGGCGGGAAGAAGCGCCCTCCCATCCCTCGCCGCAGGGAAGCCGCCCCTTTCCCCTCACGCTCTCTCTCTCTCTCTCTCTCTCTCACCCCGCGCATGCGCAGAAGCCCCCCCCAGCATCCCCCCCCACCGGCTCCCCACAGATGCCCGTTGCTCGGCTCGCGCCCCTCTCCCCTCCTCCCCTGGCCGCGCGCCACCTTGCCAACACCTCCTCCCGTCTCCGAAGTCCCAACAGTGGCCGCTGCTGCTGCTGCTGCTGCTGCAGCAGCCCTTGGCCACGCGCATGCGCAAAACGCAACAGCTCCCTACCTCCAGACAAACACAAGGCGTACACACCCCCGCCTCGCGCCCGCCACTGACTGACTGCCCAGCGCTCACTCGCTGGCTCGCGCTCCTCCGTCGGGGCGTACCAAGTGATTCCCACAATGGGGGGAGGGAGAGGAGATTAGAAAAAAAAATACACAAGAGATATTTCCCGAGTTTCTTTTTACACAAACACGCAGCAAGGGGTGAAATCCGCCCTAATGGAATCCGGTTTCCAGTTGCTTGACCTCTAGCAATAGCGGCACAAAATTGGTTTTCAATTACACCCCCCTCTTTTTTTTAAATAAGGGTAGTGGTTTGCTCCGCTTCCTCCTGCTCTTGTTATGGGCTTTTGTAGGCCCGCGAGGCAAAGGAGGAAAGGGGCGTGAGGGCTGAGGAGGCGCTGCTGTGATGTTGTATGGTTTGCATGCCCTCCAAAGTCACTCCCAGAATATTTTGCCCTAGCAGGAGCATTTTCCCATCCACCTCCATGATAGTTTGGAGATGGGCCAAAGTCTAAACATGACACTCATGTTTCACATTTATGTTATGCACATAGCCTGCATTTATGTTTAATGTACACCCTCTTATGCACATAGCCAGAAGGTCGTGCTTTTAATAACATGAAACAAAAAGATGGATGAAACAAAAAGGTGCATCGACACTTCAAAATGAATGCAGCTTGACACGATTTTGCCACTGCTCAAGGCTATAGTATCCTGGGAGTTGTAGTTTGGCGAAGTACCAGCACTTTTTGGCAGAGGAGGCGAAAGACTTTGTATAACTACAATACCCAGGACTCCATAGCATTAAGCCCTGACAAAATTCATTCCATAATGTAGATGAAGCATGGGTGCACAGACGACGTCGTCATCAGCATACTGGAGTTCTATAACAGATGTTAAAAACTGAGAATTGGGAAGCCCAGGTCCTTGAGTGCTCTAGCTAGAGGTCAGCTGTGACCAGCAATGCTGTAGAATTTGAAGAGGCACGAAGAGGAGCGAAAGAAACGTGCCAAGCGGAAGGAGTGTCAAGCCAACCCCAACCGGGACTGCCTTCCACCTGGAAACCGATGCCCTCACTGCAGGAGAACATGCAGGTCAAGCATAGGGCTGCACAGTCACCTACGGCCTCACCGCCAATACACCGAATCTGGAAGGCAATCTTACTCGGTCAATGAGGGATTGCTTAAGCGACTGAGGGGAAAAAGGAGGGCACCCAAGGCTGTTAGGAATGGTGGGAGTTGTAGTCCAAAACACCTGGAGGGCCAAAGTTTGTCCATGCCTAATCTAGAAGCCTAATGAGTGCATGAAAGCATTCAGAGAACAACAGGCTTCCTTCAGCCCTTTTAAAGAAGCTGGCCTTTTAGGAGGTGTTTCAGCACATGTTCTTGTATGAAAAGTAGCACTCCCTGGAAATGCCTCGCACATAGCTTTGGGCTGCTTTTAATCATGTACCTCAGTGTGAAATACCTAACTTTTGTGACTAAGAGTACTGATCTTTTGTACAGATTGTGACTATGCAGTTGAGGATCTAAATTTTACATTCGCCTTTGCAGCAGCAGGCATCTGTCCCTTTTCTAAGCAAATTAACAGACTAAGGCTTTCCATGGACACTACCCATGAAAGCTAAACTCGGATGTCCATGGACAAAAAGTGGATTTCAAATACTGGTTGAATGTTTGTGAGATAAGAAAAATGCCTGCCTTCGAAAAAGTTGAATTTTTATGTTTGAAAACATAATACACATTTACTGAGGTTATTTTATCTATCATGTCAGAAGCAAAATGAGGGTACAGTTATAATGTATTTAAAAATAATACAAACAAAGTTAAAAACTTGGCATTATACTAGATTTCCTTTGACCAGAAGCTGGCCACTTGGGGTGCTTCTGGTGTCGCTATACGGATTTCTTCCATTGTGAGTGTGGCAGGGCTCAGGCTGCATTGTAATAGACGGTCTGTGGTTTGCTCTTCTCCACACTCACATGTCGTGGATTCCACTTTGTAGCCCCATTTCTTAAGATTGGTTCTGCATCTCATTGTGCCATAGCGCAGTCTGTTCAGTGTCTTGCAAGTTGCCCAGTCTTCTGTGTGCCCAGGGAGGAGTTTCTCATCCAGTCTCAGCCACTGATTGAGGTTCTGGGTTTCAGCCTGCCACTTTTGGATTCTTGCTTGCTGAGATGTTCCTGCGAGTATCTCTGTAGATCTTAAGAAGCTGTTTCTTTATTTAAGGCATTGGTGTTTTGGCTGATATCCAAACAAAGGATGGGCCGGATATGTCACTGCCTTGACCCTTTTATTGCTGGCTGCTACTTCCCGATTGATGTCAGGTGGTACAATACTGGCTAAACAGTGTAATTTCTCCAGTGGTGTAGACATCCTGTGATAATGTGGCATGTCTCATTAAGAGCCACATCCACAGTTTTTAGTGTGGTGAGATGTATTCCACACTGGGCATGCATATTCAGCAACAGAGTAGCAAAGTCTTTATGGCTTAACTAAGTGGGAAAGGAGTCAATTAAAATTATTGCAAAATAAATGTATTCTTTTAGTAATTACAGTGCACAGTGTATAATGGCATTATACAGTAGATACTAAATGTAAATACAATAATGTTTAAGGGGGCCTACATACCATTGGGCAAGCTGTCACCCTGCCCATAACTGATGTCTTGAGAGTGGTCTTAATAATAATAATAATAATAATAATAATAATAATAATAATAATAATAACAACTTTATTTTTATATCCCGCCACCATCTCCCCAAGGGGACTCAGAGTGGCTTACAAAGGGACAAAACCAAGAATTACATATAAAAACAGAGACACAATTAAAATAAATCAAATAGTAATGTTAAAAAAACAGTCACAAACATCATCATAAAACAATATGGCTGAGATAGGAATCATTGCTGAGTTCAGGCTCAATGAATGCAAAAATCCCTAAAAGGGGCCCATGGAAAGTGCAGACAACAAATGAATAAGGGGCTAGGGAAGCATTTTTCCCCCTAAGTGATGCTCCAAGAGTGTACGCCATTAATTGTGTATTCCCGTAAGTAATGCTTCGAGAGGATGCCTCATTAAGTTTATATCCTGAGCTTCAAGAAGGTTTTCCCATTGAGCATGTGTCCCCATAAGTGACAATCCCAAAGGGTAGTTAGTCCCTTTAAGCCTTTAAGTCCCACAGCCAACTGAACACAGAATCGCCAGCCGCTAATTCGGATTAAAATCCTTTATGGTACGGACAATGTGTGCAGATAGTAGAAAGCACATTTGGCTGCTTTTAAGAACTGCATCCTCTGTTCTCAAACTGGAGGAAGATCTGAGGGAAAGTGTCTGCAAGGAATGGAGGAAAGCAGGGATATAAAAAGAAACTTGGAATACTTGGGGTACTGTAGAAGCCGTAGAAGGATTACTCCAAGATTCCCTGCTTAATTGTGGACACCTGAGGCGCCTTCCACACAGCTGTATAAAATCCCACATTTTCTGCTTTGAACTGGAATACATGGTAGTGTGGACTCAGCTATCCCAGTTCAAAGAAGACATTGTGGGATTTCTGCCTTGCTATTCTGGGTTATATGGCTGTGTGGAAGGGCCCTGAGTGACCTTGAGCAAGTCACACACTCTCTGCCTCAGAGGAAAGCTGTGAAAGGTGGGGGGTTATATAAAAAAATACTCTCTGAACAAATTCTGCCAAGAAAACACTATGAACATGAATGCTGAACATAGAATCACATTGGGAGGACCTATAGATTCATAGAAAGGTATTCTTCCTGGAAATCCCCCAACATGACTGGAGGAAGTTGAGCACAGAATTCCACTGGAAAACCTAGTGATGCCTAGAAAGAACATTTAAAAATAAAATCAGTGAATAATCAAATCCACCAAAGTCAAGACTGGAAACATGGTGGGATGACTGTATCTTAATAAACGAGGCTCTCAGAGGAGTTGTTGGGAAGGGCCTGTTGGTTCTGTGCCCTGATTGTAGGCTACTAAGGACATCCACTGGAAGCAAAATGCTGGATTAGCAGGATCTTCATTTTAGACGGTAATTATACACATCAGCTCACATTAGGTTCAAATCCCTGCATGTTGCTTTTGGGTGAATGGTCATTGCTGATCTATGCTCTTAGGAGGAATGTTGAGTTATTAATGTAATAAATCAATCAAGCCACTTCCGAGTTAGTTGAAAGACAGGAGTGTTATGTTGTAAATGTGTTGGGAGCTGCCTCACATTTCCGCATGAGACTTTATGGGTATTATGATGTGCTCTGATGCTGGATTATTAAGTTCTCTGACTTTTTTTAAGCTTCTGGCAATTAAAAACATGGGTTTGTGGTGGCATGTACAAAGCTGCACATGAATGAAAGTGATCACTGGTCAAAATTAGCACTTTAAAGAAGATAATGGGTGCCATATAGCCCCCGGTGGCGCAGTGGGTTAAACTGCTGAGCTGCTGAACTTCCTGACTGGAAGATTGGCGGTTCAGATCCAGGGAGCGGGGTGAGGTCCCGCTGTTAGCCCCGGCTTCTGCCAACCTAGCATTTTGAAAACATGTCGATCAATAGATACTGCTCCAGCGAGAAGGTAATGGCGCTCATGCAGTCATGCCAGCCACACGACCTTGGAGGTGTCTACGGACAACGGTGGCTCTTCGTCTTAGAATTGGAGGTGAGCACCAGCCCCCAGAGTTGGACACTACTGGACTTAATGTCAGGGGAAAACCTTTACCTAATGGATGCTATGGGTCCTCAGTTGATGAAATCAGATGCTCTCATATTCTATAAGTGATACATTATGGTCCAGTATTTTAATGTTACAGTATATTAATATTTCACACTGCAAGGGTATTTTAGAAGTGGCAAATACATTTCCTTGCATATGGAGGTGTGACTGTGGGGACTGCTATGATCAGATCCTTCAGTTCCACGTTTGCCATTACACAACATCTGTACTGTAGAATGAATGCAGTTTGACA